GCACTTGTGAGAAAGAGCCCTGCGAGTCACTACTTGACACCTTGGGCTGAGAGCTGTCTGAAAACCCTAAAGATGTGGCCAAAAATACATGCGTCTGAAAAGAAGTGATGGACCCAAAACTGTGTAGAGAGCGGGGGATCAGTGGCGTGGATTTGATAACAGTTCATTTTGCTGTGGTTTGAAAGTTAGGGACCTCAGCTTTAAGAAAACAAGCGCTTTTGTACCTGTCAGAGCGTCCAGGGAGAGGGATGGCTTTTTTGATTCAAGGTTTATAAATGTGGTAAAATATTCCCTCAATTCCCAGCTGCATAACTGTTTATTTGTCTTCTGTCTAAGTGCGAAAACAGAAAACACCTTTTTACCATTTGTTCCATTTCCCCAGGAGTGGAAGATTTTGGAAAAAGTGTTGCCGCATTTTTGAGATTTGTGCCAAAAAAAAGACAATGAGAGACAAAAATTTTAACGACAAATCCTCCAAATATTGGAAGCTATGACAGGGTGTGTGTATGTGTGTGTGCGTGTATCTGTGTGTGTGTGTCTGTGTATGTGTGTCTCTATGTATGTGTGTGTGTGTGTGTGTGTATGTGTGTTTGTGTCTGTGTATGTGTGTCTCTATGTATGTGTGTGTGTGTGTGTATTGGTATGTGTGTGTACATTTATGCGTGTGTGAATGTGTACAGTATGTATGTATGTGTGTGTGTGCATGCATATATGTGTGTGTATGTGTATGCGTGTGTGTGTGTGTGTGTGTGTGTGTATGTGTATGTATGGGTATGTGTGTCTCTGTGTAGGTGTGCATTGGTATGTGTGTCTGTGTGTGTACATGTATGCGTGTGTGTGTGTATTGGTATGTGTGTGCGCTTATATGCATATGCATGTGCGTGTGTGTGTGTGTGTGTATGTGTCATCAGCATCACCATTTCTACAAAGTCTCATATAGATTACACACATTTCTCAGAGTTTCTGAGATCACATGGAAGCAACTAGAAAGGGGGCGGAGTCACATGCTTGGATCCAAAAACAACTCCAGGTCTGTTTTTGATGAGAAACAATGTTGTAACACTTTTAAAAGCTAAAAATGTGTCTCCTTTAAGGTTTTGCCGTTATTTGATGAATGATTGTCAGAAAACCTAAAATAACATACTTTTGTTTAATAAATGTGAAAATGATTCCTTCATATGAGGAGCGTGCTCGATGATGTCTCCGTGTGTTGCGCTGGTCATGGATGAAGTGATAAAGTGCTTTTAGCTCCTGACACGATCTTGTCATTTCATGCAGCAGTAACTGATGTTCTGTGTTAATGGAAGCTCTCCCCGAGTGACAGACAAGGAATCACCTCCTGAACCCAAACCCAGTCTCACATCCATGTCCCACTCCCTCCAGTCTCCTGCTGCAGCTTCTCAACTTAACCCAACCACATATTTATAGAGTTTTTTCTGTATTTTTTTCACTAGGACTGTGTGTATTGAACCTGGGAAACCAAACTTCCATGTCACATGATCCGTCTCACTCCATTCCCAGCTCTTAACACAGTTTAAGTATCAACCTCTATGTGTCACATTTTTGGACCACTTTTTTCAGATTGAGGAGAACCTTCAAAGCATCACAAGATAATTTATTTTCTGTTAAGAAAAAGACAGCATGAGGAGGTCTGATTTATATAGATAGATAGAGTTAGATACACTACAAAAATGATCAAATATGAGGTAATAAATGCTTTAGTGTTTTTTTTTCTCCAAATTTGAGTTATGATAATAATAATGATAATTTTCAAGACACTCAAAGACGCTTCACATGTCATTATTTATTCACTCCAAACACAGTGGTGATAAACTACTGTAGCCACAGCTGCCCTGGGGCACAATGACAGAAGCAAAGTAAACAGTCTGTGCCATCAGTTCCCACCACCACCAACCATTCTAACATGGGTGAAGTGTCTTGCCTAAGGACACAACAGTTTGGCACTTTACAGTCGCAGCCGCCCCACTGTGGCACCTGCTGTTCCCATAGGTCTCCCATCACAGTACTAACCAGGCCCTGCCCTGCTTAGATTCAGAGGTCTGATGAGATCTTGTTTTTCCCTGAAGCTATGGCCACAAGCACATTCAGATTCAGATTCAGTTTATTTGCCATTTGCAGTAAAAACACCACATTGGAATACATTAGCAAAAAGTTTCCAGTGTGCACAGACAAATACAGACATAAAACAACATTAAAAGACAGAAATAAACAGTTTATTGAGTTGGTTTTAACTCATTCTGTGTTAAAACCAGATTCTCCAATGGGACAAAGCCATTTAGTCTTATTCCAAGAACTGTTGCTTTATTTCCTCCTCTGTATCTTTTTGAAATAAGATCATTTTGCTTTGTCCCATCTACAAATCTTGTTTTAAGGCTCAGTCAGAATGTGCTCAAATTGAGGAACATTTAGCTAAATTTGAGAAATGTTTAACTGATTTTTCATCAGTTTTTGCAGTGTAGATGAATTTGCCACATACAATGTTAACAACACGGTCAGTAACATGTAGTGAAATAGCTTGTAAACAATAAATCTGTCTTTTTAGTTTTTAGTTTTAAAAGTATAGGAGGATTTTCTACTTCCGTGGGGGTCATCAAGACTATTGGTCCTCCCAATAAGACCAGAGAATTGTGTTCAAAAAGTGGAGAGGATGGTTCTTTCCTAAAATTTGGCCAAATCCTCTAATAAACTTTTAAGTAATTTGCACATTCTCTATTTGCTGATAAATGTTGATATTGTATTTTGAACTATTTTTTTAATCTGAATTTTATTATGTTTGTTTATGATTGTGTTGTCAAAGACTCCAGATGAAAGTTTCATCGGGTAAATCTGGTGCAGCCGTCTTTTTAATGCAACTGCACATCGTCCCCAATAAACTAAACTCTAATCTCTAAGTATCCAGAAGATCACATGTTTTCTAACAAGAACAAGACATTGATTTATTCCCAACATTCAATTATACAGGACTCTTTCTGTTCTCTAAATGGACTTATACAGGACTCTAAATGACTTAGCTACACCCTCTTTTAGCGGTGCTAGTTGGCGACCATGTGCCGGTCTCCAGAAAGAAAAAGCAAAAGAGTAAAAAAGAATAACAGCGAGTTCCTCCAATTCCTAAGGCGAGCAGTGTGTCAATTAGGAATCCCATAATAGGTTTTACTGCCAGATAAAGTTTGCGTGGAACAAAATGAAGTCGGATAAGAGGTTACAACAAGGTAGACTAGTGTTTGGGGCTGACTAGCTGCAGGGTTTGGCGTCGCACGACTCGCACTCCCCCACTCCGGGCCTTTTAAATCACCAGTCTGGCAAATTGAATCGGCAGTGAATGAGTTTCTCCGACCCTGCGGCCCGAGAATACCGCACAAATTGTTTCTCTCTCTCTCTCTCTCTCTCTCAGTTCTCTCCACTCCTGAGTGTTTGAGCCTTTTATTTCTCCTCGCCCTCCTCTTCAGTCTCCTTTGCGATCAGAACAAGTCATCACCTCGAGTTTCGGCTTTGATTCGGGGGACTCCTTTTTTTCTTGTTCTTTTTTTTTTTTTTTTACATCCGAGCTTGTTCCACCGCCGGGTCTCGGTGGGTTACACTCATATTTGAAACGTCTGGTGAAAAAAATGTCAAGTCACCGCGGTCTTTGAGGAAGTTCTCCGTCAAAAGACCTGGTGTCAGACGAGGCCAAGAGGCTCGGAACTTTATCTTTAAGAAGTGAGAGGAGTGCAGATGGTGGATTAAGGAGCTTTTTTGTGAGTTTTGTGAGTAGGAGTTTGACTTGGACTCTAGAACCTGAGACTTGGACTTGACTTGGACTCCTGGACCACAGACTTGGACATGACTTGGACTCCTGGACCAGAGACTTGGACTTTACTTGGACTCCTGGACCAGAGACTTGGAAATGACTTGGACTCCTGGACCAGAGACTTGGACTTTACTTGGACTCCTGGACCAGAGACTTGGACATGACTTGGACTCCTGGACCAGAGACTTGGACTTTACTTGGACTCCTGGACCAGAGACTCTGACTTTACTTGGACTCCTGGACCAGAGACTTGGACTTTACTTGGACTCCTGGACCAGAGACTTGGACTTTACTTGGACTCCTGGACCAGAGACTTGGACATGACTTGGACTCCTGGACCAGAGACTTGGACTTGACTTAGACTCCTGGACCAGAGACTTGGACTTGACTTGGACTCCTGGACCAGAGACTTGGACTTGACTTAGACTCCTGGACCAGAGACTTGGACTTGACTTGGACTCCTGGACCAGAGACTTGGACACCTGGGCCACAGACTCGGACTCGGCCATCAAGCCCTTACACAGGATGTTTTTGAGTCTAAAATGAACACCTGCATGGGAAAGCCAGATCCTGTCAGTCCTCTGAAGCTAAGCAGGACAGGACCTGGTTAGTACTGTAATGGGAGACACAGTGGGCCGGCTGTGGCTGTAAAGTGTCAAATTGTGGCACTTTACAGCCACAATTAGCATGAATCTGGTGTGTGAATGGTTGGTGGTGGTGGGAGGGGCTGATGTCACAGACTGGTGGCCTCGTTTCTGTCAGTGTGCCCCAGGGCAGCTGTAGTTATAGTAGTGAATGAATACTGAGGTGGGAAGCGTCTCTGAGAGTCAAAAAAAAATAAAATTAATATTTTGACCCTCAGAACTGATGACAATTAGGTTGACACAGTCTTGCTCTTGTGCGTATTACAGACTGATCTACATATTTATAAGAATATGTTTTATTGCACCAGAGCATACAGGTTTATAATTCATGTGTAATATTTTTATTTTACTATTATTATTATTTATAGTTAAATATAGAGTTGTGCTATACTTTAAATTCTCTTTTCTTGTGTGCTCCTTATTCCTACTGTTCAGTGTTGCAACTTGTGACGCAACCCTGAAATTTCCCCGCTTAATCTTAATCCTAAACTGAGACCGCACACACCTCAACACCTGTCGCACCAAACACTGAACCGTTTCCCATGATGCTTCACCTTCAGCCGTGCGAGGCCACAGTCTTTGGTAAAGTGTCGGGATTAGAGCTTGCGTCACACGTGGCTCTGCACGGCCCTGGACCTCCGTGAGAGCCTGGCACGCCGCCGGCAGAGGCTAAACGCTGAGACGCATTAGCTGCTCCTCGTCGTACGCGAGCGCGGAGGCGACAGTTATAGACCAGCGCACACAGACTGCCAGGCTCGCTCTCGTCTTGGCCTGAGCGTGGTGCGAACGCCTCATCGCCGTTTGACTTTATTTAATCTCTGTGTGCCGTTTACGCTGTCGGCAAGAATGAACCTCAGAGAGAATTTTGTATCTAAGGTTTATTCAACTCAGGATGCACCGATAAGAGACTGGCAAAGGAAATCGGAGATGGTTGTCAATTAAGTTTATGTTTGTGTTGCTCGACATCACAACAGCAGAAGTCTCGGAGGACTTTACAAAGTTGCGTGTTCACCAACAACAGATCTTACAGAAAAGACAGATAATATACTTAATAAAAAACACATCAGAGCCATGGGTCCATGGATGTTAATAAATGTGCAGAAATGTCCAGGTCCTGTCCGACCTTTCTGTATCGGCAGGGGAGAGTTTTAAAAAGAGGTGGATAAATGTAAGACTCACAGAGAGAGAGAGAGAGAGAGAGGGATCTGCTGCCAGGACTGAGGGTGTCAACTCAGGACTGAGGCTGTAGACCCAGAACTGAGGCAGTAGATCCAGGACTGAGGCTGTTGACCCAGGACTGAGGCTGTAGATCCAGGACTGAGGCTGTTGACCCAGGACTGAGGCTGTAGATCCAGGACTGAGGCTGTTGACCCAGGACTGAGGCTGTAGATCCAGGACTGAGGCTGTTGACCCAGGACTGAGGCTGTAGATCCAGGACTGAGGCTGTTGACCCAGGACTGAGGCTGAAGATCCAGGACTGAGGCTGAAGATCCAGGCCTGAGGCTGTAGACCTAGGACTGAGGCTGTAGATCCAGGACTGAGGCTTTACAGCATATTCAACCTACACATCTAAATATTTGGGTGAATTCGGTTAAATTCACAATTTCTTTCGAGCCAATGCTGTGGGATTTTCCAGATTCACTGTAAACATCTTTTCACCACTTCACCATCTGTCCTCGTCCTCCGACGCCCTCTGTGTTCTCCCCGTCCACAAATCCCACAGTCCTGCATCTTGATTTAGTGCACTATAGCATTAGCCTGTGTTAACACCCAATTTAATCCACTCCCCTCGTGGCCAGCTTGTCCTGCCGGTCCCCCCCCCCCCTCAAGAGGCTGCTCCGTCCCTCTGTCTCCTCTGTGTTCAGCTTCTGCTTTTTACATGAATCTAAAACTGAGGCTTTCTCTGCTGTACCTATGTTTAATTTACTCTTTCCAAGGTAGAACTACTATGAGATCAGTGTAGCATCCACAAGAATATATGTTTAAAATGCTCAAAGTGAATCAACTCGGACTCGGAGGAGCACAGGGACTGGCCTCCTGCTGGAACATGGGGAAGAAGCGTTTGCAGATTCATAAAGCTAAAATCTGAAACGCTTCTTTTGTGAGACAGGCTTCTTCTTCGACAATGTTAAAATCCAGGTTAAAACAGTTAAGTTTAGCTGCAAACAACAGAGGGTCATGATTTTTATGTTTCTATCTGGTTCTGAGTTGCCTTATGCGTGAAAGTCAAATGTGAAAATGTGAGGTAATAAATGCTTAATATCAGATTTTTTTTTTAATCTTTATTTTGACACTTTCTGACTGTCTTTGCCAATGAGAAAAAGCCATTTAGTCTTATTTCAAGAACTGTTTCTTTATTTTTTCATTCCAAGGGAGACATTTCTTGTATCTTTTTAAAACTAGATCATTTTACCTTGTCCCATTGGTGAATCTAGTTTAAGGCTCATTCAGAATGTGCTCAGATTAAGATACATTTAGCTAAATTTGAGCAGTATTGGACTCATTTTTTTTGCAGTGTATGCAGTGTAGTGATGCATGGATCCAGGATGTTTAGGCCTGATTCAATATTAAATGAACCAATACCGGTGTAAGGAAACTGGTATTTGGTTAATTTTCTCTTAGAATAAAGTTACCTCATTACTCTGTTCCGTTTTGTTTTGTTTTATACTGTCGTTTGGTTTACTCAGAGTTTATAAGATCTGTTTTTATGTCTAGTTTGTGAAGCTCATCCACTTTCTTCAGTGTCTTTGGGCATGTCCCACCTGCTCTGAGGCAGTGTGAGAAACAGATGCAGCCGGATCCTCTCGACGTGGAGGAGACATGTCGAGAGGAGCAGGCAGGTCCAAACCAAGGCTCGGGGGCCAATTGCGGCCCTCTGTGTCATTTTATACGGCCCTCTGCCTCACTATCCCAAAGTGGAGTGTAATCCAGACAAGTTGTATTTCTCCGGAATTCGTTCACTTTCTTTGACCAGACAGACATAGTATGGTACTTTTGTATCTGGCGAGTAAACCGTTGTCATTCAGCCAACTTCAGCTCTTCAAAGATGAACCAATATAGACATTTCACACCTAATATCAAATCTCAGGACGGCATTAATCCAGTTAAACAATGTTCTCGGCCCCTGGAAATTTTTGATGAACCAAAGTGGTCCTCTTACTAAAACGTTTGGGCACCCCTGGTCTTGTTTATTCCAATGTGTTTTTACGGCAAATGGCAAAGAAACATATTCTGAATCTCAGTCTGGTTGCAAAAGATGATCTAAAGATGTGACAGTGATAAAAAAAAAACTACCAAACTATTTAAAGAAACCGAGGAACCAGGCGTATTCTATAGTTCCAATTGTTGTGGTTTGAAAGTCAGGGACCCCAGCTTTAACACGTGTGCTTCAGGAGTCCGAACGATGTGTCCTTGAACAACACATCATGGCTATTTCTACTTCAACACGACAACTGCAGCTCTGGAAATAAACCTTTGCAGAAATTTTCAGCCTATAGCCGCGACTCCGTGTGGATTGCTCGGTTCGGGGCCCCTCCCACCTCAGTGGTGCCGTGGACAGGTGTCCGCGGTCCCTCAGGTGCCGTGGTCAGAACAGGACAAACTGATTTTAGACCATCCACGGTAAAAATAATACTCTAAAACCAGAACCGTGGACTGACCCCTGTGTTTCGTATTTGTCAGCAGAGACAGGAGAGGAGCCGCTGGGATTGGAATAAGTTAATTTAGAGTTGAATTCACCTGTAGGTAAATCTGTCCTCTGCATTTGACCCGTGCTTCAAATCTGGCGCTGTGGTGGAAGTGTATAAATATTGTTGTTAAGGAGAGGCTACAGGAGGATCCCGGATGTGTTAAAAACTGCTTCTTATCCATCTCTCACTCTCTCACCTGGCTTCTGGGCACATGCCGGCGTGCCCAGACTGACGCCACCAGCCTCGGGTCCTGACCAAACCAGCCACAACGCTACGCCATCCTTTTTACATTTTACACACGCTAGAATACAACATTTGCCCTACACAACGTTATCTCACTGACTTCCATACTCAACACCCTGCAACCACACAGCTCACGAGTCACCTACACTGATTACAAGCAGATTACTTTATTTTCTTTCAAATAAAAGCCCCACCGAGGGTTTAAAATCTCTCCATTTGTAGTGTAGGTGACTCGTAGGCGATTCCCTAGAAACCCTTGTGCTGGCCTCGAGTCAAAGTGACCCACCAGTGATTCAAGAATACCCTAAATGATTGTTTTCCAAGCTGAGTTTTGATGAATTTTCCTAACTTGACTGGCCCTGGCTCTTTCATACGCTTTTAGACCCTAGCTTGTTATCGACCCGAAGGAGCCATAGATAGTGTGTTAATTACATCAAACATTGTTACAAGATACAGAAAAAAACAAAACATATATACACAATATTCATACCGATACCCCTGATACCGATATTCAGTATGGGTATCGGGGGCCGATATGGGTATTTTGTAAGGATCGGATAATATCGGATTTGTTAAATATGAAGCCGATTTACGTCACTATTCAGCATGCTCACGCTTTACGGCTGCCATAAACTAAATACAATGTAAAACTAGGGCTGGGCGATAAAACGACAACAAGATATATTGCGATAGACACGTGTTCGATATCAATAGAAAACGGGGTCGATAGAATGTTAGTTTAACATCAATCCGTTAGAAAAAACAGGACGAAAACACAGGAAGTAAAGCTGAGTCAGAGGCGCGCGGACATTCTGGGAGATGTAGGCAGAGACTTCTCAACCTATCACAGCCAAGAATGGAACCGCAAAACTTTCTTGGAAATGCAAAAACAACAATGTGTAGCGTACATGGATCTAAAATGCGGCGCGGGAGAGGCAGTAGCACAGAGACCTGGTGCATGCGGCGAAAGCAAGAGATGAACTTTTTCCTCCGTGCGGCAAGCGAGGGAGCGAGGCTCTGAGGAAGGCCTTCTCCTCTAGGCTTCCTTTCCTACAGGAGGGTCCAAGGACGGTGGTGATGATCCAAGACATTTAACACTCAACGGCAAGTATGGACATTGGTCTCTGCCTCTTATGGACAATGGCTCTATGTGTTTTTGACCATTGCATTTTCCTGTGTCAGCATTGTTTAATTCTCTCATTTGTGTTGGCGAATCGACAGCTTGTAAAGTCCTCTAAGAGAAATACTGCTGTGATTTAGGCGATACAAGAATACATTGAATTGAATTGAACTGCTTGTTTTAAAGAGCATCCACAGACACAGAGGGTCAGAGGTCCTGCACACAGTATATATGTTGGGGAGGTGATGTCACAGAAGTACAAAAGTATCAGTATCGATTGGACAAACAGGACACTCTCAACGGGGAGGGAACTTTTATCTAGGGCTTTCTAGGAAAAATCACCAACACAGAACATAGAATGGCAAATCAGTCACACATGCCGACATCGCTAAACAGGTGTGGGTTAGAAAGAGGGGGGAGGACTTTGGGTGAGGAAGCAGGTTTGGATCCAATATAATCCTATCCACTTTTTACAAGCATATAGCATATTTTATAAATATACAGTTTGTGTGAGCAATAAAATCCATAATAAAGACGATAAAATCATAACAAATCAAATACTATAAAACTATACATGCGACTCATGCAGTGTTACATGTCAAATGATAAAAACGGGTATTTCTTTTTTGGACTTAAAACAATCCACAGAAGGCGCAGTTTGAATATGGGGCGGGGCTTCAATAGCTCTGGTCCAGCCTCAGACAAGGCTCTGTCCCCCCGGGTTTTAAGTCTTGTCTTGGGCACCATGAGCTGGAGTTGGCCCTCGGACCTCACTGCGCAGGTGTGTGGTGCACTTGAATGAGGACATTTCCAGGAGGAGGGCATGCAATACACAGACACACACACACACAGACACACACACACACGAAATCCAGTTACAACAATCTGGTTCCTCACGCCTCACTCAATGCACCTCGGCTTACATATGTCGTCTTCAATCTCTATAAATTCGTCTTCTCCTTTGTGCTTTGTTCGTATTCTCCCTGAAGTAAAGACAGAAAACATCCAAACTTGAACAAAGCGTGACTCAACCTCCTCTAATAACCGCACACAAATTGCATTCATTGCCATAATCCTGTCATGAACCTCAGTCTCAAAACTCAGAAGTCTCGCCGCAGGAAAAAACCTTTGGTAAATTACCACCGAAAGTCTTGGCTCCTTTTATATATATTTTTTTTTGTGGGTGAAATTGCAAAAGTCACAGAGGCGCAAAAACAGCCAGTGGCACCTCTGCACCACCGACAACCATCTATGCGTTCATTTCTTCTACGAGTTGCGGTAAAAAAAAGCTTTTCGCCAACACCGCGGGGGCCAAATTAAATGGGAAAGTGTGCGAGCGACGGAGGAAGTGGCGCTAATAAACCATGGGCTGTTTGTACCGTGAGAAAGCCCCCAGACAAAGCATATTTTATAGTTTCACATTGTGCTAAGCCTCGCAGGTCCAAGGCAATTTCCAGCTTTTGTTCCGTCAGCTGTAAGAACCTCAAACATAGGAGTTGTGTGCGTTCATTTAGCAGCGAGTCCACGGTGTTGGGAGCGGAGAGGTTTGTTCTCTTTGTGTGGATTTAAGTGGAGCCATAATGAGACGCTGTAATCTGTGGTTGTTGAAGTTAAAACGATGCAGAACACGGTTGGTGTTTTAACGCGACGGGACTCTCAGGATTCTGGATTCACTGTAAACAAGTTCCAGGGGTTTTAATGATGGTAAGTAAGTTATTAGGTTTTTTACCTTCACTCACTTTGAATAATTTGCTATAACTGGGGATTATAGCTTGAAATGCAGAAAAATACTGTTTCTTGAAAGGCTAAAGCTAACTGTGGCAAGTGAACAAAACAGTGCGTTGCTAGCATAACCAAGCATAACCAGGATCAGGACCATTCCGGGACCAAGACCAGTCCAGGACCAAGACAAGTCCAGGACCAGTCAAGGACCTGTCCAGGATCAGGATCAGTCAAAAAACATGGACAATTTGACTCCACGCTGATCTTCTCTACTTTATTCTACTCTACTCTGATCTTCTCTACTCTACTCTATTCTACTCTGATCTGCTTTACTCTACTCTACTATAATCTACTCTACTCTACTCTACTCTATTCTACTCTGATCTACTCTACTCTACTCTATTCTACTCTGATCTACTCTACTCTACTCTACTCTATTCTACTCTGATCTAATCTACTCTGATCTACTTTACTCTACTCTACTCTACTATAATCTACTCTACTCTACTCTACTCTATTCTACTCTGATCTGCTTTACTCTACTCTACTATAATCTACTCTACTCTACTCTACTATAATCTACTCTACTCTACTCTACTCTATTCTACTCTGATCTACTCTACTCTACTCTAATCTACTCTACTCTACTCTATTCTACTCTGATTTAATCTACTCTGATCTACTTTACTCTACTCTACTCTACTATAATCTACTCTACTCTACTCTACTCTACTCTACTCTATTCTACTCTGATCTAATCTACTCTGATCTACTTTACTCTACTCTACTCTACTCTACCCTACTCTACTCTACTCTGATCAACTCTACTCTACTCTATTCTACTCTAATCTACTCTGATCTAATCTTCTCTACTCTACTCTACTCTATTCTACTCTGACTGTATGTTTATATGATTGTGTGTCTCTGTGCCTGGTATAAAACAGTTTGTTCTTACTTATACCTAACCTTCTCCTGTGGTGCAGGAGGTTGTGGGTTTGAATCCTGTTTAGTCTGATGTCATGTTTATCCAAAGTTAATATTGTTCATTCCTGGGAAATTCCTGGTTCTTTGTGTTTTATGAATCCACATTTATGGGACATTTTCCTCAATAAAAGACTTTGTTCTAAAAGTGCATTGATTGAGACCAGTCCAGAGACACTCGGTGAAGATCCATGTCTTATAGTGTTCGTTTTACAGCTGACACATGGTTTCTGTCCAACACTTTAAACATGAACTCTACTAAATAAACACAAAACTAAATGCAGGTTTTCTATGGGGTAAGGTTACTGTCAATAAAGACGTGCATGTCTAAAAAAAAAAGCGTGCATATTTATTGGTATTTGTGCTTTTTTTTTTTTTATTAATTCATTATTAAGATAATACAAACTAAAAAGACATGGAATTTCGTAATTAAGAATAAAAAAATATAAAACTGTATGTGTGATTTTGTACTTGTAAATACGATTTTTTTTTGTGTGCTTGCATTTTCAGCAGTCAGCAAACTGTCAATAATACGTCACTGCTCACAGACATTAACAATCGAGCTGCGCAGAGTTGATCGTGGCAGAGGGCAACAACATTAACAATTTGGCTCAACATCAGGTAAATAACTATATTTGATCATTTTAGTCGTAAATAAATGTATAAGAAATATTAATTCCATAAAATGTGTTCATAAGATGTTTCTTGTCCCTCTCTAGAAACATTATTTTAGGCAGTGTTTAGTTAACACTAGCTTCAATGCTAGTTTTACAGCTTACCATGTTATTTTAAAACCAACATTTTTACATTCTTAGCATTTACATTTGATGAAGCCTTTGCCCCGAATCAATGTGGTTAATGTGTTGATATCAGCCCCAACCCTCCAGATTATTCATAGTTCACGCTGTTACTGCCCCTGAGCAACATGAAGAACACCTCCGTGCTGCACTCATCCTCGGTTTTTAGACGTAGCAGACCCTGTCCCTGTGGACCTCAATCTTATATTTGTACATTTGACACATTACTTTTACTCACTAGTTCAGTAACGCTAGTCAGTCTGTTGTTTAGACTAAAATAAATGCATTATTTTCTGTAGAATAAAAAAATATAAGGATAAGAAAATAAAACTAGCATTGGAGCTAACAACACTGCCAAAAAACCTTTTAGAGGGACAAGAAACATCTTCTTATGAACACATTTATGGAATTAATATTTCTTACACATTCATTTACGAACAAAATGATAAAATATAGTTATATAGCTGATTTTGAGCTACTTTATTTATGTTGTGTCCCTCTGCCATGTTTAGTTTTTAGGCAATGAAGTTAATCAACTCTGCGCAGGCTCGATTGTTAATGTCTGAGAGCAGTGACGTATTATTGACAGTTTGCTCACTGCTGAAATTCGTATTCTCAAAAAGAAAATGCAAGCACACAAAAAAAAATCACATTCACAAGTACAAAATCACACATACAGTTTTGTATTTTTTTATTCTTAATTACGAAATTCCATGTCTTTTTAGTTTGTATTATCTTAATCATGAATTAATACAATATTTTTATGCACAAATACCAATAAATATGCACGCATTTTTTTAGACATGCACGTCTTTATTGACAGTAACCTTACCCCATAGTTTTCACATCAGAAACATATCTCCAGACGCTGCTGTAGTCACATGTTTGAAGGTCCCGCCCTCTGTCCGGACACCAACCAGGAAATGGTTTAGAGCAAAAACAAAAGAGCAGAAGTTGAGGAGAAAGGAGCCTCACACAGAGACAGAGGAGAGTGCGGCACCAAAGGAATCAAACTACAGACCTTTCTGCTTCTCTCATCTCTGAGTAAAGGTGAGTCTGTCTGAGTAACGGGGAAAGAGGAAGTCATGATTGTACACAGCAAATATACCAGTGTTAAAATGTCATGGACCGTGTTGGATAAAGAGTGTTGTTGTGTGAACACCACACAGTTACACAATAGCACTGCGAGTGTTGCCTCACACTTATTTGTGTCGTCAAATCACGGTAAGATTTTTCACACAGTCGTTGGTGTTGATGCAGATCTAAGCCACGCTCCACAGTTTGGTAGATTCAAGGTTCAAGGTATCTTTATTATCTTTATTATCCCCGAGGGCAGTTTGGTTCCAGCAGCAGAAAGACACACAAGTACACACAAGGACACAATAAATACACAAAACAACAGGATTTCAATGGTTGCTTTAAAAGACCAATGGCAACAGAGATAAAAGAGTTCTTAAATCTGTTACTTCTACATTTAGTGGTGCTGTATCTGCGGTCAGGGCGTGGGTGACGTCCAAAGAGATTATTAGATAACAGTTTGCGTCTGATAAACGTGTCTCTACAAGAATTTGGAGATCATTCTGATTCTGATTAAAACTGTGCATTTTGATGATCACATGAAAGCAATCAGCAATGATGAGGTGAATGATGTGTAGTTTGTGGCTAATCTGATTTAATAAAGACCTGGAAATGACAAAATAATGTAGATTGTGCCCTGCTGTAGTATTGTCAATATTCTTCGAATTGTCAAATGTTTTATTACAAAAGTAATTTCTCTCTACAATTTCTGCCATGGTGCAGAGAGGACTGGGCAGCAGTCAAAGGAGGAGACCTCGGCGACCCAGGCGCACACAGCATAGCTGTTGGGAGGGTGTCCACCAGTACACCCTAGGCCTGAGGTCAATGATCGTTTTGTTGTTTCGGACAACAATGTATTTTCTGTCTCGGACACTCGGGTGAAGAGAGGGGCGGAGCCGTCAACCAATCACCACCTGTTTGTGAGTTGGATCCGCTGGCAGGCAAGGAAACCGGTCAGACCTGGCAGACCCAAGCGTGTAGTGAGGGTCTTCTGGGAACATCTCGCTGAGCCACCTGTCAAGCCACAGACTTTCAACTCACACCTCCGGGAGAGTTTCTCCCAGGTCCCGGGGGAAGAGGGGACATCAAGTCTGAGTGGACCATATTCTCCGCCTCTATCGCCGATGCAGCGGCTCGTAGCTGTGGTCGCAGGGTCTCTGGTACGGGTCCCGACGTCCTCATGTGCTTTGTGGATTTGGATAAGGTGTTCGACTGTGTTCCCCGGGGTGTCCTGTGGGACGTTCTCCGGGAGTACAGGGTCAGTGCACCTCTGCAGAAGGCCGTCCGGTCCCTGTATGACCGGAGCCAGAGCTGTATTCTCATCGCCGGCCGTAAGTCAGACCTGTTCCCGGTGCATGTTGGCCTCCACCAAGGCTGCCCTTTGTCACTGGTTCTGTTCACCGTCTTTATGGACAGAATTTCTAGGCGGAGCAAGGGGCCGGAGGGGGTCCAGTTCGGAGACCACAGGATTTCATCTCTGCTGTTTGAGGACAATGTCGTCCTGTTGGCTCCAACGAACCAGGACCTGCAGCATGCACTGGGACGGTTTGCAGCAAAGTGTGAAGTGGCTGGGCTGAGAATCAGCACCTCCAAATCTGAGGCCATGGTACTCGACCGGAAAAAGGTGCCTTGCCCTCTCCAGGTGGGTGGAGTGGTTCAAGTATCTCGGGGTCTTGTTCACGAGTGAGGGAAGGATGGGGCGTGAGATTGACAGGCGGATCGCTGCAGCGTGCGCAGTGTTGCGGTCGCTGTACCGGACCGTTCAATCTTTGTTCCCTCCCTCACCTATGGTCATGAGCTTTGGGTAATGTCCGAAAGAACGAGATCGCGGATACAAGCGGTCGAAATGAGCTTCCTCCGCAGAGTGGCTGGGCGCTCCCTTAGAGATAGGGTGAGGAGCTCATTCACACGGGAGGAGCTCGGAATAGAGCCGCTGCTCCTCCATGTCGGTAGGAACCAGTTGAGGTGGCTCGGGCATCTGTTCCGGATGCCTCCTGGACGCCTCCCTGGGGAGGTGTTCCGGGCACGTCCCACCGGGAGTAGACCCCGGGGAAGATCCAGGACATGCTGGAGGGACTATATCTCTCAGCTGGCCTGGGAACACCTTCGGGTCCCCCCAGAGGAGCTGGAGGAGGTGTGTGTGGATAGGGAAGTCTGGGCATCTTCGCTTAGACTGCTGCCCCCGCGAACGGATGAAGCGGAAGAAAATTGTCTTTTATTTCAGTTATAGGGTATTGGGAAATCTGACACTCACTACGAGGTATTTACACCTAGTAGCGTTAAAAATAGGTCAGTCTCAATACTGGATTTTGTTGTCTTCACACTGAACTGGTGTCGAAGTTGAAGAAAGCTGTGTTCTTTCTTAACACTTTATCTTAACACTAACACCAGTGTAGTGTGAATACAACACCATAAAGTGTTGTATAGTATTGTTGCAGTGTTGAGTTTTAACTAGGGCTGTCAAAATTATCGCGTTAATTCACGTTAATTACCGTTTTCATTAACGCGTTAAAAAATAATTAACGCATTAACTGCCATTGACGTGTTAAGACGTCAATTGCGTTTCCCGCTATTTTTACGTTCCCAGATGTCTATTGTATCAAATATGTAAGGCTTGAGGCAATATTTTATTGAGCCAGCAGATGGCAGCATTGCTCTATGAATGGTTTGAAAACAGCTAGAAGCTAGATAAGATAATAAAACTTACCTCTACTCGACTGGGGATTACAGGGGAACGAAACAAGCTAGAAACTAAATTATTTTTGCTGATGAAAGTAGACTGTCCATTCTTTCAGAATTTAGATAGTCATAGTACACAATATTCTGTGGGTCTTAAAAATTCAGTAAAAATCATCAGAAACAGCTGGCAATATGGGAGTTCTGAAATAGGCTGGCAGTCAATCACATGTCCGAATGACCCGCCCATTTATAAAAATATCAATCAGAATGCCGTGGACACGTGCGTGTGTGATGGTGACAGCGGTAACGTGGTCATATAATACACGCATATATATATATATATATATACGCACAGGGGCCATTCTCTGATGTGTGTGACACACGGAGGAGAGGAGGAGACACGCTGAAATGCAACCAAACTCGCAAAATTAAAGCTGGGGTACCTACATTTTCCCTTTCATTAACAGCTCTTGTTGATTGTACCCAAAAGTAGAAGGTTGGGAGCAAGTCAAACAGATTTAAGTACATTTGGTATCAATAACAATGTGTCATTACATTTGAAAATGTCATTTAACTTCAATTGGAGTGGATTTGAAATAGAATGTTAAAAATGCGATTAATCGTGAGTTAACTCACCATTACTATGCGATTAATCAACTAAAAAAAATTAATCGTTTGACAGCCCTAGTTTTAACACTATAGGCCCTGTTTACACGGAGACGCAGACAAGGAATTCACAAAAACGACCAGACTCGGTATTCGAAGTGCAAAGCATCTACACGGCGACTGAAGACGATGTAGTTTTAGTCTTGTTCAGTGGAACTTTACGACACGACACCCACCAGTTAAACCAGTTCAACAAATTAACTTTAATAGAAGCGAATAAAAACAACAGTTGATTTTTGTTTAGCACCGTTGCTAAACTCACTAATTGCCATAGCGCAATCGAGCCTAACTCACTGAGCAGTGTCAACTTTTTATCTTCTTTAATGATAAAATTACATCCATCCGCAACAAACTGGAGGAAACCACTCCTGATATTAGTGATGAACAGGCTGAAGCGTTGCACTTGATTTCCCACCTGGATTCTTCAGTGTGCCTCGACAAGTTCACGGCTGTGAGCCAAGAGGAAGTGATCTCTGTGGTCACATCTTCTAAAGCCTCAACTTACATGTTAGATGCAATCCCGGCTTCGCTCTTTAAAGACACACTTCCTTTGATAATAGAGCCCATCTTAAATATAATAAACGTATCCATACAATGTGGCTATGTCCCACAAGCTTTTAAAACCGCTTTAGAAGAAAACAAACCTGGATCAGGAACTACTTACAAGCTACAAACCGATTTCGAACCTTACTTTCATATCTAAAATCCTGGAAAAGCGTATAGCTGAACAGTTTTGCTGCCACCTGGAGGAAAATATTATGTTTGAAGTCTTTCAATCAGGATTCAGAGCTCATCATAGCACTGAAACCGCACTAGTCAAAGTTACAAATGACTTACTACTAGCTGCTGACAATGGAAAAGTATCAGTGTTGGTCCTACTGGACCTCAGCATTGCATTTGACACAATAGACAACAGCATAGCTCAGAGGACCAGCCCTTGGCGTGTTTAAATCATATCTATCGAATCGGCATCACTTTGTCAATGTGAGTGTGTCGCCTTATTCTAAAGTGAAATTTGGATTGCAAGCATTATGTAGAGTGTGAAAAGAATATGTCCGCTCTGTGTTATCTGCTTCATCTGTCGATGAAACCAAGTCAGACGGATCAGATGAAAAGGCTTAGTGCCTGCATAAAAGACCTTAAAACGTGGCTGACTCTTAACTTTCTACTTCTTAACCCGGAGAAGACAGAAGTGATCCGACTCGGCCCAAAGCGAATGTGCGACTCCCTCACCGACCAGATAATCACTCTCGACAACGTCAGCATAGTACCCAGCAACACTTTGAGGAATCTTGGAGTCTTTTTTGACGAAGAACTCTCCTTTAAGGCTTGTATAAACCAAGCAACTAAAACGGTGTATTTCCACTTGCGAAAAATCTGTAAAATCAAGAATATCCTCCCTAAAAGTGAAGCGGAAAAACTTATCCTCGCTTTTGTTACCTCAAGGCTTGACTACTGTAATGCTTTGCTGGCATCGTACCCTAAAACCTCTTTGAAGAGCTTCCAGCTCGTTCAAAATACAGCAGCAATGATCTTATCAATCAATCAATCCTTTATTATCTCACACAGATGAAGAAATTCAGTTCGATGAATAAGCATCAAGGCTGGCCGCGTACTCTAATTTTCCGCGCTCCTTATGACAGTTATTCAACAGCAGAGAGCAAAACAGACACATATTTCAACAAACATGGGGAGAGACACGGTACATGTGGAAAACATGCGGATCTTTTTAATGGGAAGTCATCACTCAGGCCCGCCTCGTCCAATATAGCGCGTCAGAGGGAAGTGTGGGTGGGGGAGGTGGAGGGTAAGACCACCGTAGACTGAAAAGAGAGGGAGGCAGACATGTAGAAGGGGGGAGGACTGTAACTGGTGTTCTGGGTTGTGAGTCTGAGTTAGATAGAGTCCAGTGTCGGCCTTGAGTAGCCCCTGTAGCAGTGAGGGTGGTGGAATGTGAAGGACAAAGATAGCGCAGGTGCCTGCAAACATTGGAGACAAAACAACACATGCCTTGTGGGAAATTTGTATAAGCACTTTAGCTGATCAATGAAAGGCAGTGTAAACTAAAGCCAATATGTCCAAATTATACTGGAACTGGACCCTCCGTTCACCGTTATCCGGAGTTGACCACGTCAGTACGAGGTTCCACCGTGAGGCCCAAGTCCTTCAATCAATACTTCCACGCGTTTAAGTCCATCCAAAGATCTCACTCCCAGGTCATTATGGGAATGTTCGATCCGACTCACACCCCGTTGTGTCCCCACTGTGCCCTCGACCACGACTCTGACCAACTCGCGGAAACTCTCCTTGTTTTCTGCGGACAGCCGCTCGTAAATCTTCTGAGTGGACAGCCCTCCAACTTTGCGGTAGATCAAGCCAACTCCAAATCCAATCAGGAGGAACCCTGCTATCATAAATCAAAAAATTTATATATCCTCAATGTCCTCGATGGACAGTCCCGACAGACAAACGGGGTGCCACTTTTGCCAGTTGTCAAAAACGTACCCAGCAGCCGCCGTACCATCCGGGCAAACGGCATCTCCAGAACCGCCTTTACGTGATGAAAAAATAGTATCAATTGCGTTGAGGGACCAGTTGATTAATTTCATAATCTTTCAAGTTGTACACAGGCAGAACTCTAGGAAAAAAGACAGTCAGGGCAAGCAGGGCAGGAGCAGGCAAGAGACACGTCTGACCTCGAGGAGAGCAGGAGGAGGAAAGGTACCAAAAGAAGGGAGCACATAAGTCTGGTGTTAAAATCATTCCACTGGCTCCCTGTGGAGTACAGAATAAAGTTTATAATCCTTCTTCTAGCATACAAAGTCTTATCTTCAAGACAAGTTAGTGTCATACCAACTAAACCGAGCACTGCGCTCGCAAAGGTGGTTCCTTAGGTGGTTCCTAAAGTCTCAAAAAGCACTGTCGGTGGCAGACCATTTAGCTACCAAGCTCCTTTACTGTGGAATCAGCTTCCTATCCATGTTAAGGAAGCAGACACGGTCTTTAAGAGGCTTAAAACACTCTTGTTCAATTTAGCATATGGTTAGGTTGTTTGTCTGGTTAGGTCGTTTGTCTGGTTTTGGAGCCTGCTTGTACGGGACCCAGTCTGCTGCATCTTCAACCTTGTTACTATAGATTGTGGGTTACACACTGTCTTTGGATGCTCTAGCCTTGGCTAGCCCAGCCGTGGCTGCTGCTGTCTCTCCTTCGATCAGACACGGGCTCTACATTAGTAAGTAAGTAATGTTTATTTATATAGCACATTTTACAAACCAAAGCGCTTTACAATTTTCAGAGTTCAGATATTTTACCAATCATTCCACACACGGTGATGACGGAAGCAAGTCGCCGAACACACTGGCGCATCAGCCCCAATCAACACCATCGATTCACTCTCTCATTTACATTCATTCCTATTGTGCATGTGGTAGGGGAAACCCGGAGGAAACCTACGCAGACATGGGGAGAACATGCAAACTCCACTCAGAAAGGCCCTGTTCCAACAGGGATTCGAACCCAGGACCTTCTTGCTGAGAGGCGAGAGTTCTATCCACTCAGCCACCGTCCCACCCATTCAAGGCTAGGCTTACAACAGTCCTCTTTAGTTAGCATGAAGGCTAAACTCCTTAGACTGTCAGTCAAGCTGCATAGGGAGTCAGTTTGCTGGGAGAAGTATTGTAGCTTGAGAACTATCCTCTCCTTCCTATTTTTTCTGTTTGGATTATTAGGATTTTGACGGTAGTCTGTTCATTGCTATTCACCCGTTGTCCCATAGTCTGTTTAATGGCGCCACGACGGGACCTCTGAACCTGGCCCCCTCCATCTGCACCTGCGGACTGCCCTGTCCGACCCGCCTGGGAATGCTTCAGTCCTGCACCAGACCTGTCTGTGCACGTTCTGCGGCCGCTGGTCCACGTTCTGTAGCTTAGGTCCTGGATCTATAGCCTGTCTGTCCGTTGGAGCGGATCCCTTTCTCAATATGGGTTTCCCTGAGGTTTCTCACTTTTTTCCCACTGGGTTTTTGTGAGTTTTTCCTTGCTGATGGAGGAGGGTCTGTTGGACATTTAGTGTCTAAAAGGGCTGTGGTGATGATCCAGGACATGCTAACATCCTAAAACATGTATGGACATTTATCAACATTCATGGACATTGGTCTCTCCCTATGGACCAATACCATGTGTTCTATATTTTCGTCTTAAAGCTGCACTAACTGACTTTGGGATTTTGAAGCCGGGGACCCGCTGGCCTCGCTCTTCCTGCTCCCCTCCCCGCACCCACGAAGCTATCGCCCCTCCACACACACCCACTGTTGGGACGGAGCTAGCATCTTCCAATATGGATAATACATGGATATGGATTTTCACGTGGATGGCGTGACCATAGAACGATAGAACCGGGAAGCGTGGAGGAACGGGACTTTTTTTTGGATGGCTGTCTCGCTGTGTAAGCAGTAACCGGTGACGAGGAGAAAGTTTCAGGTTAGCTCCGCCGCTTGTTGTGCTAACTCAGCCGTCTATGCTAACGGACCTTCAGATTTCTCACAAAAGTGGGGGCCGGTGGTCCGCTGTGATTGGTCACAATCTGAGACCTGAAACGCATTCTCTTCCTTGTTTCATCAAAACTCAATCTAAAATATAATGTCACGCCAGCACAAATCTGCGCTACTTTTTCTTCAAAAGGACGTTTATCCCAATGCACTACAGGGACATGGATCGCACTGTCGTAATGAATACAGAAATAAAGTTAGTTAGTGCAGCTTTAACTGTTGATTTTCTGATCTGTGTTGGTGATTTCAATGGTTTTGATAAGTCCTCTGAGATGAATGCTGTTGTGATTTAGGGCTTTATAAAATAAAATAAATTGTATTGTATTGTAACAACATCAGGCACCGCAAAAGAATGCACCAACATCATTCTGCTTTTAACAGAAGCTGCAACAATGGAAACTGAAACTACAGCTTTGTGTAGTTGCAGTCCTGATCACAAACATCAACATGTGGAGATGGGTCCTGCTCTTGACAGGTTCCCCGAGTCACTAGGGGCGAGTAATGCAAGGGTGGGTCAAATGCAAAATGTCAAATGCTCTACAAAGACTGATCAGTTAATGCTCCAGAAGGAGGAAATATGTAAATAAGTAAAAACAAATGAGACTCTGCTGAATCTTTAACAGATGCAGAGGCCTCTTGTCTTCACCAACACTAAACCAAATGTGTTTTTGTTTGTCTCTTGTTGCAGTGATGGCGGCTGTGAGCTCTTCTCTCTGTGAAGAGCAGTTTCTCTGCTCCATCTGTCTGGAGGTCTTCACTGATCCAGTCACAACACCGTGTGGACACAGCTTCTGCAGCATCTGTATCAACAAACAATGGGACACCAGTGTCCACTGCAGCTGTCCAGTCTGTAAACAGGTCTTCAGCCCAAGACCACAGCTGAAAGTCAGTACTTTTATGTTAGAGATGATCTCTCTGTTCGGAAATACGCCCCATGATGATGACAAGCTGTTAGATGTTCTGTCCACTGCTCCAGGAGAGGTCTATGACCTGTCCACTGCTCCAGGAGAGGTGGACTGTGACCTCTGTCTGGAGCCCAAGCTCAGAGCCCTGAAGTCCTGCCTGCTGTGTCTGACGTCGTACTGTTGGAGCCACCTGCAGCCACACCTCACAAACCCCCGTTTGAAGAGGCACCAGCTGATCCACCCTCTGCCCAACCTGGAGGAGCACATCTGCCCTGAGCACCATCGGCCCCTGGAGCTCTTCTGTAGGGACCACTCACACTTCATGTGCCTGCAGTGCAGTTATACAGAGGATACAAAGCATCATACTGTCTTATTGAAGGAGCAGGGAGAGGAGCAGCAGGCCACACTGAAGAAACAGATCAAAGAAAGACGTGTGAAAGTCCAGGAGATCCAGCGCTCAGTGGAGCAGAGTCAGAGAAAGGCAGACGCAGAAATACAAGAAGGTCTCAGAGTCTTCACCGCTTTGATGGAGTGTGTTCAACAAAGTGCAGACAGCTTCAAACAGAGCATTGTAGAAAAGCATCAGAAGGTGGAGGAGGAGGCGTCTCAGCTGATAGAGCAGATCCAGACAGAGATCTCTGAGCTGGAGCAGAGAGGAGCTGAGATGGAGCAGCTGTGGACCTCTGGAGACCACCTGTCCTTTGTCCAAACCTTCATTACAGTCAAACCTGCTCCACAGCTCAGAGACTGGAGCCAGAAGACTGTCAGGACCCCGTCATACAAGGGGACAGGGGCCCAAGCTGTGTCTGAACTGAGGAACAAACTGAACACAGAGATGGAGACGTTCTTTAAAGCAGAGTTAGAGAAAGTTCAAGAGTTTGCAGCTGAGGTGTCTCTAGATCCAGACACTGCAAATCCATACTTAGTTCTGTCTAAAGATCTAAAACAGGTTCATCATGGTGACCAAAGACAGAATATCCCAGACAACCCTGAGAGATTCGAATATTATTTGTGTGTTTTCGGGAAACAGAAGTTCTCATCAGGAAAGTTTTATTTTGAGGTTCAGGTCAAGGAAAAGACAGGCTGGAAAGTAGGAGTGGCCAAAGAGTCAGTGGATCGAAAAGATAAAGACACTCAAACTGTGCCGAAAGGATACTGGTTTCTCAACATGTACGATGGTCGTTACCAAACATCAGACGATCCTCCTGTATTTCTCTCCCTTCAGTCGTGTCCAGAGAAGTTGGGAGTGTTTGTGGATTATGTTGAAGGTCTGGTCTCCTTCTATGATGTGGATAAAAAGTCTCTTCTTTGCTCTTACACTGACTGTGGCTTCACTGACAACATTCTGCCGATGTTTAATCCATTCAACAATTTTAAAAGTACAAACTCTGCTCCTCTGGTCCTGACGCCTGTTGGAAGTTAGTTCTAAAGTTTATTATTGAGACTTAAACCTGTTGTTCTCGACTATTGCCTCAAACTACAATATTTCAGATTTGATTTTAGTCCTTTGGAAAGTGTCATAGTTCCTGAACACAGATATTGACACATTTAGTATTTGTGCAAGTGTGTGTGTATGACCGTGTGTGATTTCGTGTGTGCATGTGTTTGTTTGCATGACTGTATATGTACGAGTGCATGACTCTGTCTCTGTGTGTGTGTGTCTGTGTGTCTGGTATAAAACAGCTTGTACTTACTTATACCCAACATTCCCCTGTGGTAATTCAATTTTTTTAAATAACATATGAGGAAAAGAATGGAAATTTTATTAAAGTCGTCTGGACAACTGCAGAGCACTTTATGCTGGCGTCAGTCAGAAAACACTCTCCCGGTTGCAGTTGGTCCAGAACGCAGCAGCACGACTTCCATCGGGGGCCTGGAAGCGTGAACACATCACCGGTACTTAAGTCTTTGCACTGGCTCCCTGTTCATTTTAGAATTGATTTTAAAATATTTTTAGTTTTTAAGTCTCTGCATGGACTGGCCCCTCATTATGTCTCGGACCTCATCCACATGTACACTCCTGCGCTCTGAGTTCCGAGAGCCAGCTCCAGCTCGTGGGGCCTAAAGCCAGACTTAAAACCCGGGGACAGAGCCTTATCTGTGGTCGGCCCTAAGCTTTGGGACACTCTTCCCCTCCATGTTCGGACCCCACAGTGGAGTGTTTTAAGTCTCGTCTTCACTTTTATTTTTTAGCTTTCAACACTCAATGTCGTGTGGTCCTCTGTGTTTTCCATCTATGGTATATATGGTATTAATGGTTTTAATCTGTTTTATATCTTTCTATTGTTTCATACTAGATGGAGCTAAGGATAAGTTTCTTGTGAATATATTATACTTGTTTGTGCATCACTTTGGAAACTTGTTTGTTGTTTAAATGTCCTATATAAATAAAGTGGATTGGATTGGATTGGTACATAAGGTTGAAAATATGTTGTGCAGGTTCAAAATGACAAATCAAAAAACTCTACATTCTCGAATTCAGTTAATATAATTGTAATTCCAGTACTCCAAAACACTATAAAGCACTTTGGGTCACCTGTGTCTGTGAAATGGACTATAGAGTAAATACAGGTCACTTATTTCCTATTTTATTTATTTTTGTGACACATGCCAAAGTTTTAAAGGAGCTTTTTAACTCCAGAGAAATAATATTTCTCTATAAATATATGAAAACGTGATTGTAGAGTGATTCCTCTGAACCCCGGAAAAAAGGAATTTACCAGAAAATAAACACACTATTAATTTTTCAAAGCGGATGTGTCTGTTTTTGCTTAAAAGTATTTTTTGAAGCCATTTTTCGCACATTTTGTACATTTGTTTGTGCTGTTGCTGCCATGGAAACAGTGGTTTTTTTTACAAATCAGACCAAAAATATATATTTCAAGGATTTCTGTGTCTCAAACTTTCAGGCTCAGCGCGTCGAGATTTAGTGTTTAACTTTTCTGGAAATGAAAGACGCCACCTGCTGGACACTCTTGAGAGCAGCTTCAGTGACAGACTGCTCCACCCTCGTTGTGTGAAGGAGAGGTTCCGCAGGTCTTTCTTTTCTGCTGCTGTCAGACTGTACAATGAACGAGGAGGACTAAAGAACACTTCCTAACCCAGCCTGGTCTTACCATACCATCGCACTGATTTCATTTGGTACTAAGGTCTGAATTTACTCCATTGAGCTTTGTTAAAAGGTGGGAGGGGTTAACTTCTTTTGCAGATTGAAAGGATTGGATCTGAGTTTACTGTGATGTTGCAGCCGAGTGAGTGAGACATTTAGCCTTTAGCCTAGCTTTAGCATTTAGCCAAGCTTTAGCATCTCCTGTTCCACTAACAGAGCCCTTGGTGAGTAGAACCACAACAAGTGGCGTTTAAAACGGCATGTGGACAACAAGTGGCGTTTAAAACGGCATGTGGACAACAAGTGGCGAACCTCTTAACATACACCGGCGCGCCGGCGTGCCGTTTTTATGTTTTTAAATGTTCTGCTGGCAATAGCAGATGTATTTTGAACACCAAACCCCAAAAGCTGTATATCATTTTAAAGCTTATTTTCTTATCTACATTTATATACATGTAAACTACATCAGACTTTGCATTCAAAAGATATAACACATAATGTGGGCACAAAATAAATCAAATCCGAAATAGTTTTTTACCTTTGGGCTTGTGCTGTACAAATAAATCAGCTCTCCTCCCAGCTTGCAATACATCATTCTCTCTGGAACAGTCTAAAGGAAAATTATATCCACTTGTATTTCCCAAAGTAAAATCCATTCTGCAGAAATAATCCAAAAATGTGCATTTATCTTTAGCGAAAAAAACGAAAAAAAAGAGCACAGATGTTACTCTTTCACTTTTAACGGACTTTTAGCTTTGTTTTTCACCCGAACATCTGGTATCTACGTGTTCCTTAGCTCCTTATCTTTCAAATGAGACTACTCCCGAAAAGCTAGACCAATTTTTGGGTCTGCAAGAGCTCCCGTAAGTACAGCTAGTGCTGCTGTTTGCGCATGGATCACTGATCTTTGTTGTGGTCCCAACTTGTTTGCATTTACTTCCGGGATGTTTGATTGACATGTCCGTGTAGCCAAGGAGGAAAGCTTTCGAGCAAGGGGTGCGACAATGGTGTCCTGTCTTATGTTGTGCCTGTAGAATTGTGCGTAATGGCAGCCAAACGACGCTCTCGAAGCTGCAATGAATTTACACTCATAAAAAAATTACTTTGACATAAAAAAAAAAAAAACACATAGATTAGTAACTTATAAGTACCAATAATAAAAAATATTGTTTTTATGATGATTAAATGTCAGTAAAGATATTTGGCACAATTTGGCACAATTGTGCCAACTTGATGAAAAGGAGAAACTGCATAAAAACTATAAAACTTAGAAGTCTGAAACTTTAGACAGTTGTTGTCAACAACACAATGACCACAGGGTTTGAATATTGTGAACTAACAATGAAGTATGCCTTTTTTAGGGCCTTTAGAAATTGAAAATGTTAGGCGAGGCTAAAAAAATTGGGGTTTTTTCCTAAACTTCAAAGGATGCAGAGGGAAATAGGAATTACAAACATTATTTTAGTGTTTTTATTACATAAATAAGAAGGCTCTAGCTTTAAAATGATGCATCACACAAGCATGTGAGATGTAAGATGTGTTTTTAAATAAGCAAAGACATTTGGGTATGCCCAACTTTTGTGCACAAGCCCAAATGAGGCGGGTGTTAAGAGGTTAAAACGGCATGTGGGGAACAAATGCCGTTTAAAACAGCATGTGGGCAATAAATGGCGTTTAAAACGGCATGTGGACAATAAATGGCGTTTAATACGGCATGTGAGCAATAAATTGCTTTTAAAACGGCATGTGGGGAATAAATGGCGTTTAAAACGGCACGTGGGGAATAAATGGCGTGTAAAACAAATACAGTTAAAAGCAGCCTGTACAAAAGACAACAAGCAGCAGTATTAGAGATAGTGGTCCAGTGGCTCAGATGGAAAAGCACAGGTCTACGGTGTTGATGGTTGCTAGTTCAAATTCCCAGTGACTACCAATGACATTTGCTGATGTTAGGTCCTTGGGCATAACACTTCATGGAGAATGTCAGAAGACTTGATTTCATGTATTATATGTGGTTTAGATTCTGAATAGGTGTATATTCCTGTGGCGCACTTGGTTTATAATTGTCTCTCATGCAGAAGATTCCTGGTTCAAATCCAGGTCTGGTCTTTATTTTGTTGTTGTCAGATTAAATACAAATTGAATATGTATGAATATATCCATCCATCCATCCTTCCATTTTCTACCCTTTAATCCATTTCTGGGTCAGGGGGGTGGCAATCAGAGATGCCACCCAAGTCTCATAGCACCAGCCCCTCACTGACCCTCTGCAGGTGGTGAGTCCACAGGAGGACCGCTGCTCTCTGAGTGTGAGCATAGCCTTGATCTTTTCAGTGGGGGCTTTTTGGGCAAAGTGGGGTTAAGTGTCTTGTATGAATATATATTTCATACATATGGCCATGTGCTGTTGCAATAGTAATCTTGCATTAGGATTAATATTGCATCATTGTTAGGGTAAAACTAAATGATCTGTAAAACACTCAAGACACAATTTTACTTAAAACCACCCGGTGAGTTGTATAGCTGGTGTGTGTCCGCCAATCAACCAAAGAGGGTGAAGAGTGATGGATTGAAAAATACAAGCAGAAAGTTGTGTAATTGGAACATGAGGTTTCATCTCTATATTGTTAAAATCTTCATTTCTGTTCTTGGACCGTTTAAGCTATGTCTTATACTTTGCATTCTTTCATAAAAAAATATATGTATTAATGCTCTTTCTTATTGTTCCATGTTTCTGATGTGGTTTTATTAAAGAAGAGAGAGAAATAAAATGATTTTTTCTTTTGTTTTATTTATATATATATATATACATAAATGACATTATATATATAATGTCATACATATTAAATTTGTATTTAATCTGACAAAAAAATAATAATGACCTGTCCTGTATTTGAATCAGGTATCTTCCGCATGAGAGACAGTTATAAACCAAGTGCGACACTGGATGACCGACTCTAGTGGAATTTATGCAATAACATATATTGCATAAATATATGTTATTTATGCAATATATATTTGTTGTTTGTTTACTCAAACAACATTTTTCAAACAATTTATTGCGCTTCTGACATTCTTCATGAAGTGTTAGGCCCAAGGACCCAACATCAGAAAATGTCATTGGTAGTCACTGGGGATTTGAACTAGCAACCATCAGAACCGTGCTTTTCCATCTGAGCCACTGGACCACTAGCTCCACCAACGCTGCTTGTTGTCTTTTGTACAGGCTGCTTTCAACTGTATTTGTTGCCCACATGCCGTTGTAAACGCCATTTATTGCCCACATGCCGCTTAACACGCCATTTATTCCCCACATGCCGTTTTAAACGCCACTTGTTGTCCACATGGCGTTTTAAACGCCATTTGTTGTCCACGTGCCGCTTTACACGCCATTTATTCCCCACATGCCGTTTTAAACGCCACTTGTTGTCCACATGCCGTTTTAAACGGCATTTATTGCCCACATGCCGCTTTACACGCCATTTATTCCCCACATGCCGTTTTAAACGCCACTTGTTGTCCACATGCCGTTTTAAACGGCATTTATTGCCCACATGCCGCTTTACACGCCATTTATTCCCCACATGCCGTTTTAAACGCCACTTGTTGTCCACATGCCGTTTTAAACGGCATTTATTGCCCACATGCCGCTTTACACGCCATTTATTCCCCACATGCCGTTTTAAACGCCACTTGTTGTCCAAATGCCGCTTTACACGCCATTTATTCCCCACATGCCGTTTTAAACGCTACTTGTTGTCCACATGCCGTTTTAAACGCCATTTGTTGTCCACATGCCGCTTTATATAATATAAATAAATATAATCTTTATTTATATACCGCCTTTTACTACTACTTACTACTTATTTTTGTGAGTGGGGGTACCAGTACAGGAGGCACATGCCAGACCTATTGTACATATTTTTAGTGGTAAGGGAAACCGGAGCACCCGGAGGAAACCGGAGCACCCGGAGGAAACCTACGCAGACACGGGGAGAACATGCAAACTCCACTCAGAAAGGCCCTGGTCCAACCGGGATTCGAACCCAGGACCTTCTTGCTGAGAGGCGAGCGTGCTATCCACTCAGCCACCGTGCCGCTTTACACAGCATTTATTCCCCACTTGCCGTTTTAAACGCCACTTATTGTCCACATTTGTTGTGTATATGCCACTAATCAGCTGTGGCAGGTGCCGGTGCCACAAAAGGAGCCTGCCCTTACTGCAAAATTGGCGCAAACTCTTGACGTCACAACACCTCCCTACACTGTAAAAGTAAAGTTTACTTGAAAAAACCTTGTAAATAAATTGCATATTAACTTAACTTGAATTCTTCGAGAACATCTTTCCCTTGATATTACCAAGTAAACTCAAGTGATTGCAATAAAGTTTAAATTTCAACTTATGTTTCGACCGGGATTTGTACTTAGAATCTTGGGGTTGAGAGGTGAAGGTGCTACCCACTCAGCCACCGGGCAACCATGTCACTGACACACCTGCCTTATTGCGTCAAAGTGAGGCTTACTTGAACAGAGACAGTTCAAAGAAAACCCGAGTGATATAGCCAAGCTTTGAATAAACTAACAATAAATGAGTAATATTTACTTACTGGGAAAATTATATTTAAAATAACTTTGATATCTCAAGTAAGATTGAAGTTAGGGTTTAACACCCACCTCCCCCGCTCTCTGATTGGTCGAGGGGAGGAACTGCAGCCACTAGGATCAGACCCAGACAAACATGTAGGAAATGATCATGGACCAGAGTTTGGATAAGACAGATGGATAAGACCAGGTTACTACCGACATGGCCTCAAATGTGTAATAGTTTGAAATAATGTCAGAATGTGCAAGAACTTTATTGATCTCACAATAGAGAAATGAACAATACAGAACCACATGTGGCTGCTGTCATTTTACTGAGTCACTTTGTCCCAGAGCCTCATGATGCTAACATGTACAGATGTAAACATACTACTATATATTTCATGTAATCAATTATACAGTACTCCTGACTTCTTTATTATGTTTAAGTTATAGATTTTACACTTGCTTCTGTGTAACTGGTGATGCAACACTGACATTTCCCCCTGTGGGACGAAACTAGGATCTCCTAATGTTAGCCTCATAACACATATATCATAGGTGACATAGGGGTATTTTATTCTCCCTGAGGAATCTAAAATGGCTGACCCTCTCCACCACCAGGCCTGTTGCGATATTCAATAAATCAATTAATCGCATGATAATTAAAATTAGCTTGATAGTTTTCCTGGCCGCGATGAATTCCATTTTCATGCTTGTTTGTTTTCCCGTCTCTCTCCCTCTCGGGTCAGAGAGCCGTAAAGTGGTCACGCGTGACGCAAACAGACTGAAATAACTCAAAAATACAAAATACAGCCAAAACAGGACCTAAACGAGGACTAAACCTGGACTTAACCAGGATTGACAACGGGGGACACAGTAGTTGTTCTCATTCAGGCTCTAGTAGTGACTAAACTAGCGCAGTTAGCATTAGCGGTTTCGCAGATGCGGAAGTACCGTTTAATGATAAAATAAACTTATGACGCACCTCCGTGAACACATACTGCTGTTATATAAAGTCTCTGGAAGGTCTCAGGACAAAGATACGCTGCAGAGCTGCATTATTGGCAAGAACTTTGTACAAAAAGCCGCTTGCATGATGCAAACGGCTTTTTTTGGAGCCACTTCCGGCGGTGGTCTTTAAAAAGAAAAGTGTATTCCTCTTTGGAAAGCTGTACCTGCGTCATTATCATTGTATCAGATTAAAATGATCTCAGAACGACAATACTATTGCCTATCGCTATAATTTCCGAGACAATTAATCGTCCAGCAAAATTTGTAATCGTGACAGGCCTATCCACCACCTCTCTCTCCGTTGGCTCTGAGGTCGTGGAGAGGGTCAGCCATGGTATTTTCCTGGGTGTGACCGAGAAGGAGTGGTGTCCTGAAACAGCAGAAGAGTGAACTACAGCACAGGAATACCAGAGGAAGCACAGACACTAGGTCCTAAGACCACTGTCCAGGTTTCTCTCTCTAGTCTCTCTCTCTAGCCTTTCTCTGGTATCTCTCTTTGGTCTATCTCTAGTCTCTTTCTGATCTCTCTGTCAAGGTCTATTTCTGGTTTATCTCTAATCTTCTGGTTTCTGTCTCTAGTCAATCTCTGCTCCCTCTCTGGTCTGAATCTGAATCTTTTCTGTTATTGCTTAATGGACTACGTTTATTTGCCATTTGCAGTAAAACCACATTGGAATGCATGTGCAAAAGTCCTCAGTGTGAAGCAGACAAGTGTTTTATGTTATTGCATTCTGACTTATATTAAAAATTATGTATAACATGTCATTCATTCATTCATTTATCAACATCCCATTTATCAGTCCATTTCTGGGTGGGGGAGGTGGCAATCAGAGCTGCACCCAATGCTCATAGCCCCTAACTCTCTGATCCTGCAGGTGGTGGGTCCACAGACGGATGGTCTTGGTCTTTCAGCGGGGGCTTCAGGTAGAGTGGGGTAAGGGTTCTTGCCCAAGGACACAACGCCAGCAGACCTCACGCAGCAGCACGCAGCTCGTCTCACAGGCCTCATATAGTATTTTTACACATTTTTTATCTACAAAGATATGTGTCTTAACTACTCTCTGTTCATGAGAGATCAATGAACATTTAGAGATAGATGTCACACTATATTTCCTCATTTTTGTCGCACTTTTGAGCACTGTTTGGAGTGACCGACAGCAGCCACGACAATACAGGCAGTTCCTGTTAGGATTGCAGTGGAATTCAGTTTCTGTGGACTTTGGGCTGTGGACTCCAGTGTTGGCCAGAATCATGACTTTGTGAAGTGTGGTCAAGTTAGAAAGAGGGGTAAACGCAGAGGCATAAAGCGGCGAACAAGGAAGCTGCAGAGCAAGAACCGCATTCCCCTGCCTTCAATTGTCATGGCCAACGTGAGATCTCTTCGGAACAAGATTGACGAGCTACAAGGAAATGTTTTGCACCTGCGTGATTACAGAGATGCATGACTCATGGCATTTACGGAAACTTGGCTCAAGGAGACGGATCCAAACCCTGCATTGGAGATCAGCGGTCCTGGTGCGCCTTTACGCACAGACCGGGACAGTGAGGTGACACACAAAACAGCGGGAAGAGGGGTCTGCCTTTTCATAAACTGCAAATGGTGCAACAACATTACAGTACGGGAGCGGTTGTGTCTCCCTGATATTGAATTGTTGTTTGTGTCCAGGGAGTTCCGGCAGATATTTGTAACTGTGGTGTACGTTCATCCCAAAGCTGACACAAAAACAGCTAGTGACGTTGTCTTAAAAACTGTGAATAACCTTCAGACTATTTCGCCCGCTCACCCAAATTTCATTGTCTGAGACTTTAATCATTTTAATTTGAAGAAACTCTGAACAGTTCATACCAGTATGTATCTTGTCCAACACGCAGGAATAAAACTCTTGGCTGTTTTATGGTTCTATTAAGGGCACGTATTGGTCCAAAGCAGGCCTTCCCCTGGCGCATCTGACCATAACACGGTCCACATTTGGCCTGCATACACCTCAGTTCTACGAAGAACAGGTGAAAGTCTGGACTGAGGACAGCTCCTTAGCACTTCAAGGTTGCTTTGAGTGCACAGACTGGTCGGTGTTTCAGGATTCCTCTCTGGACATTGATGAACTTACAGACGTTGTTTGCAGTTATATTTATTTTTGTGACGACATGGTTGTTCCAAGGAAGGAAGTTAAATTGTACCCCAATAATGACCAATGGTTCTCCAGGGGCATAAAGGAATGACTTATCAAAAGAGTAACTGTTTTCAATGAAGGTGACGTGATTGCGGAGAGAGCAATAAGAGGAGATCAGGTCTGAGATATATAAGAATAAACTAAGGTACAAAGACAGAGTGGAGGATGAGCTCAGAAGCAACAACCTAAAGATAACATTGAAGGGAATAAAAACATGATTAGGGCTCGTGATAAGGTACATAAAGTTGCTTTAATTGGTCAGGAATCAGAGAAGCACTTGGCCGATGAACTGAATACATTTTATTCTCAATTTAACAGCTCTGACTTTGAAGAGAACGTCCATTGGTGACAATTCAGAGCAGCACAGTAGCAAAGTTGTTCAAGCGGACCAAATCAAAGAGCCCGGGTCCTGACAACATTAGTGGTCGAGTCCTGAGCACATGTGCTGTCTGATGTATTTCAGTATATTTTTAACTTGAACCTGTTACAACAAAAATTCCTCAAAATTTGGAAACACTCAACAATTGTACCAGTTGCCAAAACTAACACCCCAAAATCTTTGAACGAATTCCGGCCTGTTGCATTGACCTCGCTGGTACTGACAAACCTTGAAAAAATAATTTAAGAGGCCATTCTTCTGCGAGTTGAGGATAAGTTAGACCCTCTGCAATTTGCATACAAGTCAGGGAGGGGTGTTGATGACGCCGTGATCACACTAATGCACTTTATTTCTTGCCATTTGGATAAAGTAAAGACTCATGCCAGTCTTTTATTTGTGGATTTTACATCTGCTTTAACACCATCCAGCCCATTTTACTCACAAAGCGACTGATTTCAGATTTCAGTCTTGATTTTAATACGGTTTGATGGTTGTTGGACTTCCTAACACCTCGGTCACAGTGTGTGAGGGTTTACGGCACCATGTCAGAGGTTGCCTTTACAACCATTGGCTCTCCTCAGGGTTGCTGCCTGTCTCTCCAGGAGACCTACTTCACGACTCCCACTGATGTCTGCTGTCATTGTGTCCTTGGGCAAGACACTTAACCCCACTTTGCCTGAAGCCCCCACTGAAAGATCTTGGCTCCTGTGGACTCACCACCTGCAGGAGGATCAGTGAGGGGCTGGTGCTCTGTGTACTGGGTGCAGCTCCGACTGCCACCCCCCCGATCCAGAAATGGATTAAGAGGAAGAAAATGGATGGATGGACTTGACTGTGTGTGTGCATGTGTATGTTTGTATGACTTTGCGTGTGTGTCTGTGTGTATATGAATGTGTGTGTGTGTGCCTGGTATAAAACAGCTTGTACTCACGTATACCTAACCTTCTCCTGTGGTGCAGGAGGTTGTGGGTTTGAATCCTGTTTAGTCTGATGTCATGTTTATCCAAAGTTAATATTGTTCACTCCTGGGAAATTCTATGAATCCACATTTATGGGACATTTTCCTCAATAAAAGACTTTCTTCTAAAAGTGCATTGATTGAGACCAGTCCAGAGACACTCGGTGAAGATCCATGTCTTATAGTGTTTGTTTTACAGCTGACACATGGTTTCTATCCAACACTTTAAACATGAACTCTGCTAAATAAACGCATACATAAATGCAGGTTTTCACATCAGAAACATATCTCCAGACGCTGCTGTAGTCACATGTTTAAAGGTGTGACTTGGGACCTTTGAACCCCGGACACGAACCAGGAAAAGCTTTACAGCCAATATAACGGCAGAAGTTGAGGAGAAAGGAGACTCACACAGAGACAGAGGAGAGTGCGGCACCAAAGGAATCAAACTACAGACCTTTCTGCTTCTCTCATCTCTGAGTAAAGGTGAGTCTGTCTGAGTAACGGGGAAAGAGGAAGTCATGATTGTACACAGCAAATATACCAGTGTTAAAATGTCAGGGACCGTGTTGGATAAAGAGTGTTGTTGTGTGAATACCACACAGTTACACAATAGCACTGCGAGTGTTGCCTCACACTTATTTGTGTCGTCAAATCACGGTAAGATTTTTCACACAGTCGTTGGTGTTGATGCAGATCTAAGCCACGCTCCACAGTTTGGTAGATTCAAGGTTCAAGGTATCTTTATTATCTTTATTATCCCCGAGGGCAGTTTGGTTCCAGCAGCAGAAAGACACACAAGTACACACAAGGACACAATAAATACAAAAACAACAGGATTTCAATGGTTGCTTTAAAAGACCAATGGCAACAGAGATAAAAGAGTTCTTAAATCTGTTACTTCTACATTTAGTGGTGCTTTTTCTACTCTACTTCTTGGTTAAAGTTTATGGAACAGAAACCAGATTGGAATGTTTGTTTGTACAAGTGTTGAAAATGAAACGCCTTTGTTTAATATCAATATCTTGTTTGTGTTTCTTTTGGCGACTAAAGTTAAAACCGTGCTTTTTGATGATGACATGAAAGAAATCAGCGATGATGAGGTGAATGATGTGTAGTTTGTGCTAATCTGATGAAATAAAGACCTGGAAATGACAAAAGAATGTACATTGTTCCCTACTGTAGTATTGTCAATATGCAAGGCAAGTTTATTTGTATAGCACAGTTCATACACAAGGAAACTCAAAGTGCTGAACAAAACAAGAAAGCATTAAAATCATAAATAATCACAGTACATTAAAAAGAAAGATAAAAATATAAAATACCTCAGTTGTAGCACTGCTAAACAGAACTGTCTTTAACCTGGAATTTACTTTGAATTGTCAAATGATTTAATACAGAAGGAGTTTTTCTCTGTATTTTCTGCCTCGCTGTGTGAAGGAGAGGTTCTGCAGGTCTCTCCTTCCTGCTGCTGTCAGACTGTACAATGAGAACTGCAGAGCCTGTACATGTCATTCATCTGTAGATAGTAAATACTGTAATCATGTGCAATACTGCAGCTTCAGAATGTCCACTGAACGTCACTTTATCCACTTGTTACTCTGTACATAACTTTGCACTCTGTATAAATATTGGGATCAGGATTTTAACGCGTTTAATGAAGATTAATGAATGACACAAAATGAGTGCGTTAAAAAAATGTACACATTTTCATCATATTCATTTTTGCACTGCGGAACGTTTCTCTCTGGATGAGTTTCAGTCGGACCGATTGTACTGGAGCACCAAGTAACGCATGAATTGGGTTCAGACAACAACAAACCACAGTGGCAGTGAACATGAACAAAGAAGCTGATGTGACCGCGTTGGTTGGCCCCAAGGATGGGAAAAAAATACTTCTCACTGTTCTCAGGTCAAATATTTATATGTCATTAAAATGTGAATACATTTGATTAATTAATTACAAAGCCTCTAATTAATTAGATTATTTTTTAATCGAGTCCCAGTCCTAATTAATATTTCTTTGAATGATTGATATTGAAGCATTTACAGCTAAGAAACAGCAGGTTTTTATTTGTACATGTGTTTTTTCTGTGTCTTCAACGTAGACATTTCTCCGCCGTGGGACGAATAAAGGATCTCTTATCTTACCTTATCTTCTCTTTTATTTCAGTGAAAGGGTTTTGGGAAATCTGACACTCACCAGTGTTATTGGTATTTACACCAGTAGTGTTAGTCCTTTTCTACACTGGGTTTAGTTGTCTTCACACTGCACTGGTGTCGAAGTTGAAGAAAGCTGTGTTCTTTCTTAACACTTTATCTTAACACTAACACCAGTGTAGTGTGAATACAACAACATAAAGTGTTGTATGGTGTTGTTGCAGTGTTGAGTTTTAACACTATAGGCCCTGTTTACACGGAGACGTAGCCAAACAATTCACAAAAACAACCACACTCTGGATTCAAAGTGCAAAGCGTCTACACGGCGACTGAAGACGATGTAGTTCTAGTCTCGTTCAGTGGAACTTTACAACACGACACCCACCAGTTTAACCAGTTCAACCACATCCTCCTCAGGCGCCGCAAAAGAATGCACCAACATCATTCTGCTTTTAACAGAAGCTGCAACAATGGAAACTGAAACTACAGCTTTGTGTAGTTACAGTCCTGATCACAAACATCAACATGTGGAGATGGGTCCTGCTCTTGACAGGTTCCCGAGTCACTAGGGCCGAGTAATGCCAGGATGGGTCAAATGCAGAGGACACATTTCTCTACAAAGACTGATCAGTTAATGCTCCAGAAGGAGGAAATATGTAAATAAGTAAAAACAAATGAGACTCTGTTGAAGCTTTAACAGATGCAGAGGCCTCTTGTCTTCACCAACACTAAACCAAATGTGTTTTTGTTTCTCTTGTTGCAGTGATGGCGGCTGTGAGCTCTTCTCTCTGTGAGGAGCAGTTTCTCTGCTCCATCTGTCTGGAGGTCTTCACTGATCCAGTCACAACACCGTGTGGACACAGCTTCTGCAGAATATGCATCAACAAACACTGGGACAACATCGTCCACTGCAGCTGTCCAGTCTGTAAGCAGGACTTCAGCCCAAGACCACAGATGAAAGTCAGTACTTTATTGTTAGAGATGATCTCTCTGCTCAGAAATAAGCCTCAAGATGAAGACAAGCTGTTAGAGGCTCCATCCACTGCTCCAGGAGAGGTCTGTGACCTGTCCACTGCTCCAGGAGAGGTCTGTGACCTGTACACTGCTCCAGGAGAGGTCTGTGACCTGTCCACTGCTCCAGGAGAGGTGGACTGTGACCTCTGTCTGGAGCCCAAGCTCAGAGCCCTGAAGTCCTGCCTGATGTGTCTGACGTCGTACTGTGAGAGCCACCTGCAGCCACACCTCACAAACCCCCGTCTGAAGAGGCACCAGCTGATCCACCCTCTGCCCAACCTGGAGGAGCACATCTGCCCTGAGCACCATCGGCCCCTGGAGCTCTTCTGTAGGGACCACTCACACTTCATGTGCCTGCAGTGCAGTTATACAGAGGATACAAAGCATCATACTGTCTTATTGAAGGAGCAGGGAGAGGAGCAGCAGGCCACACTGAAGAAACAGATCAAAGACAGACGTGTGAAAGTCCAGGAGATCCAGCGCTCAGTGGAGCAGAGTCAGAGAAAGGCAGACACAGAAATACAAGAAGGTCTCAGAGTCTTCACCGCTTTGATGGAATGTGTTCAACAAAGTGCAGACAGCTTCAAACAGAGCATTGTAGAAAAGCATCAGAAGGTGGAGGAGGAGGCGTCTCAGCTGATAGAGCAGATCCAGACAGAGATCTCTGAGCTGGAGCAGAGAGGAGCTGAGATGGAGCAGCTGTGGACCTCTGGAGACCACCTGTCCTTTGTCCAAACCTTCACTACAGTCAAACCTGCTCCACAGCTCAGAGACTGGAACCAGAAGACTGTCAGGACCCCGTCGTACAAGGGGACAGGGGCCCAAGCTGTGTCTGAGCTGAGGAACAAACTGAACACAGAGATGGAGACGTTCTTTAAAGCAGAGTTAGAGAAAGTTCAAGAGTTTGCAGCTGAGGTGTCTCTAGATCCAGACACTGCAAATTCATACTTAGTTCTGTCTAAAGATCTCAAACAGGTTCATGACGATGACCAAGCACAGAATCTCCTAGACAACCCTGAGAGATTCACGTTTCATTTGTGTGTTTTAGGGAAACAGAAGTTCTCATCAGGAAAGTTTTATTTTGAGGTTCAGGTCAAAGGAAAGACAGACTGGGAAGTAGGAGTGGCCAAAGAGTCAGTGGATCGAGACGATGAAGACTCTCCAACTGTACAGAAAGGATACTGGACACTCTCCATGTACGATGGTGATTACATAACATCAGACGATCCTCCTGTAGATTTCTCTGTTCAGTCATGTCCAGAGAAGTTGGGAGTGTTTGTGGATTATGATGAAGGTCTGGTCTCCTTCTATGATGTGGATAAAAAGTCTCTTCTTTGCTCTTACACTGACTGTGACTTCACTGACAACATTCTGCCGATGTTTAGTCCATGCGACAATGAAGATGGTATAAACTCTGCTCCTCTGGTCCTGACGCCTGTTGGAAGTTAGTTCTAAAGTTTATTATTGAGACTTAACCCTTAAAAGACAACGCCATCGCCGACGGCGGTGGCGCACATGTTTTACAAATGATCAATTTACTTGCGAACGGTGAACGCTAGCGACTTACTTTTTCGGTTTGTCTCTGCTACATACGGGGGATAAACTACGTGTGTATGAAAGTCAGTCCCCCAAACGGATCTTCAAGCGGTGCCCCGTGAGCCAGGCACAGCCGCATGTAAAGTTTTTTACACACACGGGGACTCAGACAAAGATTGTCAGAGAGTGAGATGGCTCACTCCTCTGTGTTTACTTGTTTAAGACCATAAATAACATTTATATGCAGTGTAAACAGTTGTTTATAGCATTTCATTGTGTTTTTCAATACATTTTTGTGAAATTGATTTTCCGTTTTGATTTTTTCTTTGTCTTCATGACTCCAAATTTTGTATATAATTGATATGACAGCTCCAAAATATAGATATTCTAAAACCCCAAGTTGTACTGAAAAAAACAAAGTATACTGCTTGACTCTGCATCAAAAAATGACTCTTTTATGAGCAATTATACACAAAGAAAACCAGGCGAGGAAGGTTCCCCAAAATGACCCTAGACCTTGGAGGGTTAAACCTGTTGTTGTCGACTATTGCCTCAAACTACAATATTTCAGATTTGATTTTAGTGCTTTGGAAAGTGTCATAGTTCCTGAACACAGATATTGACACATTTAGAGTGTGTGTGTGTTTTTGTGTATGACTTTGTGTGTTTGTCTGTATGTGAAAGTGATTGTGTGTCTGTGTATGTGTGTGTTTGCGTGTGTGTGTATGACTTTGCATTTGTGTCTGTGTGTATAGATATTTTTGTGTGTATAAGAATTTTTGTCTATCACTGTGTATGACTGTGTGTATATGTTTGTGTGTGTGACCTTGCGTGTGTGTGTGTGTGTGTATATGATTGTGTACGTGTGTTTAAGAATTTGTGTGTATCCCTGTGTGTATGACTGTGTGTATTAGTTTGTGTGTGTGTATGACTGTGTGTATATATTTGTGTGTATGACTTTGCGTGTGTGTATCCCTGTGTGTATGACTGTGTGTATTAGTTTGTGTGTGTGTATGACTGTGTGTGTTGTAGATTAAACTAAAAACAGCACACACAGATACTTCTATCTTCTGTCCTCCATGTATCAACATCTTTGATCAAATGAAATTCTATCTTGAATCATGAAATGTGTTTATACTAATCATGAATCAAGTGTTTTTATAAAGTCTTCTTTTATTAATCATTAGGTTTTTGTGTAAAAGGTTTGTGTGTTTGTGTGTTAGCCTGAGTTTAGTGAGTTCAGTGAAAGTTCCAGGACAGGTTGGTTTCTGTGATATACTGTTCTTCTCAGAGAGTCTCCCTTATCTCACCGGACTGGAGATGAGACCGGACCGGACCAGACCCAGACCAGGCTCTCCGGTCTAACCATTTATGGAGCAAAAATGACGTCTTCGGAGGCACTTCCTCTTCTTCTACACATTTTCCTAAAACTGTTTTGTACGACATAGTTTTTTGTCTGATCCGGGGACAGAGAGAGGACTTCACAGAGAACCTGGGAGTCCTCTCAGTTTTCAGGCCTGGAGCGACACTTCCTTTGGCTCAGCTCATAGGGTTAGATCGGGAAATGTAGGAGCTCAGACAGTTTTCTATCAGTATGTCATTGTAAAGAGAATTAAATACTGTTTATTTTAACTCTTCCATATCTTGGTCTTTTCTGCTCAAATTCTGAATCAGGTCCACAAAAGTGTATATGTGTGTGTGTATGACTCTGCGTGTGTGTCTGTCTGTGAATGTGTATGTGTGTCTGTGTGTATGTGTTTGTGTCTCTGTGTGTGGGTTTTGTGCGTATGACTTTGCGTGTGTGTATGATTGTGTATATATGTGTGTGTGTCTGTGTGTATATGACGATGTGTATGACTGCGTGTGTGTCTGTATGTGAATGTGTGTGTGTATGACTCTGCGTGTGTGTCTGTCTGTGAATGTGTGTGTATGACAGTGTGTGTATGACTCTGTGTGTATGTCTGTATGTGAATGTGTGTGTATGACTTTGTGTGTATGACTTTGCGTGTGTGTATATGATTGTGTGTCTCTGTGCCTGGTATAAAACAGCTTGTACTTACTTATACCTAACCTTCTCCTGTGGTGCAGGAGGTTGTGGGTTTGAATCCTGTTTAGTCTGATGTCATGTTTATCAAAAGTTAATATTGTTCATTCCTGGGAAATTCCTGGTTCATTGTGTTTTATGAATCCACATTTATGGGACATTTTCCTCAATAAAACACTTTCTTCTAAAAGTGCATTGATTGAGACCAGTCCAGACACTCGGTGAAGATCCATGTCTCGGTTCGTTTTACAGCTGACACATGTTAAATATGACACACTGTTAAATATTTATTCTAATCTAATTTTTTCTGTGTTCAAAATCAGAATTATTTGTATTGCCATTGCGAGTAACAGGAGGAGGTCACAAACTAGGACATAGCTTTGTCTCTGTGCAAACAAGTTAAAAACTATAAATAGAATCAGTCATGGATGAAAAGAACCAGGCCCCGCCCCACTGAGCTTTACAGGTCTGACTGGATCTGGCTTTCACATTATTTGTCTATTGATTCATGTGAAAATATGTTGTGCAGGTTCAAAATGACAAATAAAAAAACTCTACATTTTCAAATTCAGATAATATAATTGTAATTCCAGTACTCCAAAACACTATAAAGCACTTTGGGTCACCTGTGTCTGTGAAATGGACTATAGAGTAAATAAAGATCACTTACTTAAATTTTTTCTGAACTTTTGTGCCACATGCCAAAGTTTTAAAGGAGCTTTATAACTCCAAGCAATAATATTTTTCTATAATAATCGGAAAACGTGATTGTAGAGTGAGTCCTCTAAACCCCGGAGGAATTAATTTACCAGGAAAAAAACACACTTTATCAATTTTTCAAAGCGGATGTGTGTTAAAAGTATTTTTTGAAGCCATTTTTCCCACATTTTGTGCATTTATTTGCGCTGTTGCTGCCATGGAAACAGTGTTTTTATAAAATCAGACCAAAAATATATCTTTCAAGGATATCTGCCTCTCAAAATGTCATCAAAGGCTCAGTGAGCGTTGAGATTTAGTTTTTAACGTTTTAACTGGAAATGAAAGACGCCACCTGCAGGACACTCTTGAGAGCAGCTTCAGTGACAGACTGGTCCACCCTCGTTGTGTGAAGGAGAGGTTCCGCAGGTCTTTCTTTTCTGCTGCTGTCAGACTGTGCAATGAACGAGGAGGACTAAAGAACACTGCTAACTGTTGTCAAAAAAGATTTGACTGACGTGTTCAAAGTTGATACAGAAGTAAGACCAAGAATGCAAGAGTTAAAAATAGAACATTTATTTCTCTTTACAATTAAATATTGATACAAAACTCTTGGAGCTCTTAATTCCCTAAAACTATCCCTGTGCCGAGCAATTCTAAACTATCCCTCCAGGCCTGAAAATGTGCAGGGGACATCCAGGCGCTCTGCGATGTTCCCTGTCTATCTATCCCTGCTCGGACTGAACTAAAATATCAGGCAAAATCATATAAGTAATAATGTGCAGAAGGGGCGTGTCGCATCAGCCAGTTCCTGGTCTCCGGGTCCGGCCTTTCCATCAGGTCTCCCCCTCCGCATCTCATTCCACACCTAAAAAGGGATTCACACTTCCAACCTATAGATTTATTCCTTCCTTGAGATAAGGAAGAACTCTCAAGGCTGCTGTCACTGGTCTGACATCAATCTCCTTCTCCAAACAACTCCCTTAATTAGTCCAACAGCCGCTTCCTAAAGAATAAACCTATAGAGTACAAAAACCTCAAATCACACTAACAACATAGTATCAAAGTGTTAGTACATGAAATCACCAAAAATATAAAGTAAATATATGTTAAGAAAGGTTATGTGTATTATCATATCAACAAATGTGTGGATTAGCAGGGTCTAGCCAAGAATGCAGAACTCCCTCAGCCCCCAGATAAAAGTCAGAGATCATTGACTTTTTCCTGGACTCTGGTCTGAAGGATAAGAAGAGCAAACAAGCAGCAGGTGTGAATTAGTCCCACGAGTTCATATAGGTCATACCGTCAGTGTTTTAACTCCCTTGGCACAGGAGGCCAAGGCCTAACTATCAGCATATATATATAAATACAACATTCTTTCAAACAGCTCAAATATATCTTCCGCAGCCGCATTTTCTGAGATATGCATCATAACCCAGCCTGGTCTTACCATACCATCGCACTGATTTCATTTGGTACTAAGGTCTGAATTTACTCCATTGAGCTCCGTTAACAGGTGGGAGGGGTTAACTTATTTTGCAGATTGAAACGATTGGATCTGAGTTTACTGTGATGTTGCAGCCGAGTGAGTGAGACATTTAGCCTTTAGCCTAGCTTTAGCATTTAGCCAAGCTTTAGCCATCTCCTGTGCCACTAACAGAGCCTTTGGTGAGTAGAGCCACAACCTCTTTGCCAGCGATGAAACTTGCTAAACATTCTTTTGGTTCCGGATTCGATTTCTTGATAATTGGAGCCGAACCAGAACGGATTACTTTACAATCACATTTGCCAACTAACTACAACCAGTAAATTCCGCGCAAAATTGGCGCAAACTCTTGACGTCACAACACCTCCCTACACTGTAAAAGTAAAGTTTACTTGAAAAAACCTTGGAAATAAATCGCATATTAACTTCACTTGAATTCTTTGAGAACATCTTTCCCTTGATATTACCAAGTAAACTCATTACTGCACACCCTGCTCTGGGGGCTGCAGGCCTAGCGAAGCAACGTTATGTTCCCGGGAAGTAACACAATCAGAATTCACATTAGACATGTTACGTACCCCCAAATGAGACTCAGACAACGAGTAATGATGAAATGCCGATCGGCCTTTATTGAAGGAATTCTTTCCACCCCGACCTCCTCTGCCATAGGGAGGTCGGCGGTGGGTGCGTTGCTCCCGCGAGCCACCCGTGGGTCTGTCTGGACCCGGGGGCCTCGTCGAGGGGGGACGATGGACCACAGAGCGTGGATAGGGGTCAGAGCGCCTCCCGGGCGAACGCTCCCTGCCTCTGTCCCGGCTCCGTGATGGTGGGCGGGCCTCGCGCCTCGGTGCTAGGTGCGGGGCTAGCCTAGCCGAGTCCTTGGCTGCAGCCTCCAGTCTAGCCACCAGGGCCTGCATGTCCGGGCCGAAGAGGGACGTCTGGGAAACAGGCAGGTCCAGCAGCTGCCTCTTCTCCGCCTCCCTGATGTTAGCTAGCCCAAGCCAAAGGTGCCTGGCCCCAACTTGGGCTGCTGCCATGGAGCGGCCGCCATCCACAGCTAGCGCCTGGCACATGCGCAGGATCGCCGCTGAGGTGGTCCTCGCCTGTGATAAGGTGTCTCCACTGAGCGCCTGGCCAGAGGAGAACGACCTATCCAGGGCCCCCGTGATGAAGGCCATGTTATTCGCCAATGCGACGACCTGTGCCGCATTAGCGTAACATCTGTCCAGCATAGCCAACGACATCCTGTCCCGCTCGGAGGGAAGGAGAGGTCTGGTGCCGGGCCACACGGATGCGGAGGGCTGCAGGGCCATGCGGACTGAATCCTCAATGTCCGGGACCCCGCCGGTCCAGGACCAGTCCTGCACGCTGCAATACATGCCGTAGCCCAGAGCAGGCCTCTTGGCTGCTAGGAGCTTTGGCCACTCACGTGTCGTGTAATGGACGATCGGGTCCATCCGCGGGCACAACGTGGGCTGTATCCTCCTCCTCCCTCGAGTGGTGGCGCCCACAGAGGTGAAGTCCTCTACCCTCTGGACCGGCTGCGGTGGCAGAGGAGCATCCATGATGGCCGCCGCGGAGGAGTAGAGCCCAGGCATGTGGTCCAGTGGGAAGCGGTCTGGCTCCGGGTTCGAGACCACCTCGTCCAGCGTGAGGAGGGAGCCGATCTCCGAAGCCTCTCCATCTTCGCAGTCACCCCACTCCACGGGCACGGGTGGAAGGTCGAGTGGGGCCCAGTCAGTCTCAGACTCCTCGTCCTGAGAGGAGTCCGGACGGGGCGCTGCAGCGGCGAGGAACGCACGCCTGCGTTCGCTCTCCTCCCTGGGGAGAGCGAGACACGAGGCGCAGCTGGCGCTCAACGCCGCATGGCCCGGGCCCAGGCACATGAAGCAGCTGGAGTGCTGGTCCGTGCGCTGGAGCCTGACTCGACACGTCGAGCAACGACGACTTCCGACGCTGGAGGGCGAAGGGGAACTCGGACGAACAGCAGAAGACATCTCTCAGAATGAAGTAAGTACTGTGGTAGATCTCAATCGGCGCCAGAGTGAAAGAGGGGGAGCGGCCTTGTGCAGGGGCCTTTATAGAGGAGGGTCGCTGGTGATTGGGGCAAATTATTTTGATCTCTCTGGCGTGTGACCTGGGGGTCACGAGTGATATCCCACTAGCGAAGTCCTAAGGGACGTAGCACCATGACGTAGAACTACAAATGGTACACAGCGTGTCGTGTTCCGTTGCACACAGTGTTTCAACCTCTACAACTCAAAGCTGAACTACTGGGAGGACTAAAAAAGCAGATAAACTCACTCATACACACACTCACTCACTCACTCACGCGCACACAGACACACGCACTCACTCACTCACACAGACACTCACTCGCACACTGACATTCACACACACAGACACTCACTCACACAGACACTCACTCGCACACTGACATTCACACACACACTCAAATTCACATGCTTCATTCTATTTTATACATCTATAGTTTTATTGATCTTTGTGTTGTTGTTGTTTGACGTTTTGGTTGATGGAATAGAAGAAAGTTACATTTTCTATCTGTGAATAAATTGCCAACAAGTTGCCATCAAAAGTATTATTTCAGAGTCATGTTTTTATAATTTTTGTAATGGAACAAGTGTGAAGATGTTTTGAGTTGTCACTAAAGCAGAAAAAATGCATCTAAAAGTCTCTTTTCTGCTTGATATGTTCCTGTTTACATACAGCTCCTTTTCTCTGTTTTCTTGCTCAGACCAGGTGTTATGGGTGAAAGTATGCTTTGTTCTATGGCAAATAACTCAAGAACGGTAAGAGGTAGAAACAAACTGTTTTTTTTTCAGAGTAAAGCAGAGAGGTTAATCTTTAATTTGGTGCCCTTGGTGTTTACATCGTCTAAAAAATGAATATTCTGTGGCACTTCAAAGTTGGGTCAAATCACCTGAAATTGTTGGCAGAACGCACTTCTCAAATCTGAAAATGCCTGGCAGTCAGTGAGTCCAGCAAAATTTGTAATCGTGACAGGCCTATCCACCACCTCTCTCTCCGTTGGCTCTGAGGTCGTGGAGAGGGTCAGCCATGGTATTTTCCTGGGTGTGACCGAGAAGGAGTGGTGTCCTGAAACAGCAGAAGAGTGAGCTGCAGCACAGGAATACCAGAGGAAGCACAGACACTAGGTCCTAAGACTACTGTCCAGGTTTCTCTCTCTAGTCTCTCTCTCTAGCCTTTCTCTGGTATCTCTCTTTGGTCTATCTCTAGTCTCTTTCTGATCTTTCTGTCAAGGTCTATTTCTGGTTTATCTCTAATCTTCTGGTTTCTGTCTCTAGTCCATCTCTGCTCCCTCTCTGGTCCCTCTCTGGTCTGAATCTGAATCTTTTCTGTTATTGCTTAATGGACTACGTTTATTTGCCATTTGCAGTAAAACCACATTGGAATGCATGTGCGAAAGTCCTCAGTGTGAAGCAGACAAGTGTTTTATGTTATTGCATTCTGACTTAGATTAAAAATTATGTATAACATGTCATTCATTCATTTATTTATCAACATCCCATTTATCAGTGGCAATCAGAGCTGCACCCAATGCTCATAGCCCCTCACTCTCTGATCCTGCAGGTGGTGGGTCCACAGGCGGATGGCCTTGGTCTTTCAGCGGGGGCTTCAGGTAGAGTGGGGTAAGGGGTCTTGCCCAAGGACACAACGACAGCAGACCTCACGCAGCGGCACGCAGCTCGTCTCACAGGCCTCATATAGTATTTTAACACATTTTTCATCTACGAAGATATGTGTCTTAACTACTGTCTGTTCATGAGAGATCAATGAACATTTAGAGATAGATGTCACACTATATTTCTTCATTTTTGTCACACTTTTGAGCACTGTTTGGAGTGACCGACAGCAGCCACGACAATACAGGCAGCTCCTGTTAGGATTGCAGTGGAATTCAGTTTCTGTGGACTTTGGGCTGTGGACTCCAGTGTTGGCCAGAATCATGACTTTGTGAAGTGTGGTCAAGTTAGAAAGAGGGGTAAACGCAGAGGCATAAAGCGGCGAACAAGGAAGCTGCAGAGCAAGAACCGCATTCCCCTGCCTTCAATTGTCATGGCCAACGTGAGATCTCTTCGGAACAAGATTGACGAGCTACAAGGAAATGTTTTGCACCTGCGTGATTACAGAGATGCATGACTCATGGCATTTACGGAAACTTGGCTCAAGGAGACGGATCCAAACCCTGCATTGGAGATCAGCGGTCCTGGTGCGCCTTTACGCACAGACCGGGACAGTGAGGTGACACACAAAACAGCGGGAGGAGGGGTCTGCCTTTACATAAACTGCAAATGGTGCAACAACATTACAGTACGGGAGCGGTTGTGTCTCCCTGATATTGAATTGTTGTTTGTGTCCAGGGAGTTCCCGCATATATTTGTAACTGTGGTGTACGTTCATCCCAAAGCTGACACAAAAACAGCTAGTGACGTTGTCTTAAAAACTGTGAATAACCTTCAGACTATTTCGCCCGCTCACCCAAATTTCATTCTCTGAGATTTTAATCATTTTAATTTGAAGAAACTCTGAACAGTTTTTGCGCGTATTGGTCCAGAGCAGGCCTTCCCCTGGCGCATCTGACCATAACACGGTCCATATTTGGCCTGCATACACCTCAGTTCTACGAAGAACAGGTGAAAGTCTGGACTGAGGACAGCTCCTTAGCACTTCAAGGTTGCTTTGAGTGCACAGACTGGTCGGTGTTTCAGGATTCCTCTCTGGACATTGATGAACTTACAGACGTTGTTTGCAGTTATATTTATTTTTGTGACGACATTGTTGTTCCAAGGAAGGAAGTTAAATTGTACCCCAATAATGACCAATGGTTCTCCAGGGGCATAAAGGAATGACTTATCAAAAGAGTAGCTGTTTTCAATGAAGGTGACGTGATTGCGGAGAGAGCAATAAGAGGAGATCAGGTCTGAGATATATAAGAGTAAACTAAGGTACAAAGACAGAGTGGAGGATGAGCTCAGAAGCAACAACTTAAAGATAACATTGAAGGGAATAAAAACATGATTGGGGCTTGTGATAAGGTACATAAAGTTTATTTAATTGGTCAGGAATCAGAGAAGCACTTGGCTGATGGACTGAATACATTTTATTCTCAATTTAACAGCTCTGACTTTGAAGAGAACGTCCATTGGTGACAATTCAGAGCAGCACAGTAGCAAAGTTGTTCAAGGGGACCAAATCAAAGAGCTTGGGTCCCGACAACAATAGTGGTGGAGTACTGAGCACATGTGCTGACCCATTGTCTGATGTATTTCAGTATATTTTTGACTTGACCCTGTTAAAACAAAAATTCCTCAAAATTTGGAAACACTCAACAATTCCGGCCTGTTGCATTGACCTCGCTGGTAATGACAAACCTTGAAAAAATAATTTAAGAGGCCATTCTTCTGCGAGTTGAGGATAAGTTAGACCCTCTGCAATTTGCATACAAGTCAGGGAGGGGTGTTGATGACGCCGTGATCACACTAATGCACTTTATTTCTTGCCATTTAAAGACTCATGCCAGTCTTTTATTTGTGGATTTTACGTCTGCTTTAACACCATTCAGCCCATTTTACTCACAAAGCGACTGATTTCAGATTTCAGTCTTGATTTTAATACGGTTGGATGGTTGTTGGACTTCCTAACACCTCGGTCACGGTGTGTGAGGGTTTACGGCACCATGTCAGAGGTTGCCTTTACAACCATTGGTTCTCCTCAGGGTTGCTGCCTGTCTCTCCAGGAGACCTACTTCACGACTCCCACTGATGTCGGCTGTCATTGTGTCCTTGGGCCTTAACCCCACTTTGCCTGAAGCCCCCACTGAAAGATCTTGGCTCCTGTGGACTCACCACCTGCAGGAGGATCAGTGAGGGGCTGGTGCTCTGTGTACTGGGTGCAGCTCCAACTGCCACCCCCCCGATCCAGAAATGGATTAAGAGGAAGAAAATAGATGGATGAATGGACTTGACTGTGTGTGTGCATGTGTATGTGTGTATGACTTTGCGTGTGTGTCTGTGTGTATACGAATGTGTGTGTGTGTGTCTGGTATAAAACAGCTTGTACTTACGTATACCTAACCTTCTCCTGTGGTGCAGGAGGTTGTGGGTTTGAATCCATTTTAGTCTGATGTCATGTTTATCCAAAGTTAATATTGTTCATTCCTGAGAAATTATATGAATCCACATTTATGGGACATTTTCCTCAATAAAAGACTTTGTTCTAAAAGTGCATTGATTGAGACCAGTCCAGAGACACTCGGTGAAGATCCATGTCTTATAGTGTTCGTTTTACAGCTGACACATGGTTTCTATCCAACACTTTAAACATGAACTCTACTAAATAAACACATAAATAAATGCAGGTTTTCACATCAGAAACATATCTCCAGACGCTGCTGTAGTCACATGTTTGAAGGTCCCGCCCTCTGTCCGGACACCAACCAGGAAATGTTTAGAGCAAAAACAAAAGAGCAGAAGTTGAGGAGAAAGGAGCCTCACACAGAGACAGAGGAGAGTGCGGCACCAAAGGAATCAAACTACAGACCTTTCTGCTTCTCTCATCTCTGAGTAAAGGTGAGTCTGTCTGAGTAACGGGGAAAGAGGAAGTCATGATTGTACACAGCAAATATACCAGTGTTAAAATGTCAGGGATAAAGAGTGTTGTTGTGTGAACACCACACAGTTACACAATAGCACTGCGAGTGTTGCCTCACACTTATTTGTGTCGTCAAATCACGGTAAGATTTTTCACACAGTCGTTGGTGTTGATGCAGATCTAAGCCACGCTCCACAGTTTGGTAGATTCAAGGTTCAAGGTATCTTTATTATCTTTATTACCCCCGAGGGCAGTTTGGTTCCAGCAGCAGAAAGACACACAAGTATACACAAGGACACAATAAATACACAAAACAACAGGATTTCAATGACAACAGAGATAAAAGAGTTCTTAAATCTGTTACTTCTACATTTAGTGGTGCTTTTTCTACTCTACTTCTTGGTTAAAGTTTATGGAACAGATCCAGATTGGAATGTTTGTTTGTACAAGTGTTGAAAATGAAACGCCTTTGTTTAATATCAATATCTTGTTTGTGTTTCTTTTGGCGACTAAAGTTAAAACCGTGTATTTTGATGATGACATGAAAGAAATCAGCGATGATGAGGTGAATGATGTGTAGTTTGTGCTCATCTGATGAAATAAAGACCTGGAAATGACAAAAGAATGTACATTGTTCCCTACTGTAGTATTGTCAATATGCAAGGCAAGTTTATTTGTATAGCACAGTTCATACACAAGGAAACTCAAAGTGCTGAACAAAACAAGAAAGCATTAAAACCATAAATAATTACAGTACATTAAAAAGAAATATAAAAATATAAAATCCCTCAGTTGTAGCACTGCTAAACAGAACTGTTTTTAACCTGGAATTTACTTTGAATTGTCAAATGATTTAATACAGAAGGAATTTTCTCTATAATTTCTGCCTCGCTGTGTGAAGGAGAGGTTCTGCAGGTCTTTCCTTCCTGCTGCTGTCAGATTGTACAATGAGAACTGCAGAGCCTGTACATGTCATTCATCTGTAGATAGTAAATACTGTAATCATGTGCAATACTGCAGCTTCAGAATGTCCACTGAACGTCACTTTATCCACTTGTTACTCTGTACATAACTTTGCACTTTGTATAAATATTGGGATCGGGATTTTAACGCGTTTAATTAAGATTAATGAATTACACAAAATGAGTGCGTTAAAAAATATTGACACGTTTTCATTTTGGATTCAAAGTGCAAACCATCTCCACGGCGACTGAAGACGATGTAGTTCTAGTCTCGTTCAGTGGAACTTTACAACACGACACCCACCAGTTTAACCAGTTCAACCACATCCTCCTCAGGCGCCGCAAAAGAATGCACCAACATCATTCTGCTTTTAACAGAAGCTGCAACAATGGAAACTGAAACTACAGCTTTGTGTAGTTGCAGTCCTGATCACGAACATCAACATGTGGAGATGGGTCCTGCTCTTGACAGGTTCCCGAGTCACTAGGGCCGAGTAATGCCCGGATGGGTCAAATGCAGAAGACACATTTCTCTACAAAGACTGATCTGTTTATGCTCCAGAAGGAGGAAATATGTAAATAAGTAAAAACAAATGAGACTCTGCTGAAGCTTTAACAGATGCAGAGGCCTCTTGTCTTCACCAACACTAAACCAAATGTGTTTTTGTTTGTCTCTTGTTGCAGTGATGGCGGCTGTGAGCTCTTCTCTCTGTGAGGAGCAGTTTCTCTGCTCCATCTGTCTGGAGGTCTTCACTGATCCAGTCACAACACCGTGTGGACACAGCTTCTGCAGCATCTGCATCAACAAACACTGGGACACCAGTGTCCACTGCAGCTGTCCAGTCTGTAAACAGGTCTTCAGCCCAAGACCACAGCTGAAAGTTAATACTTTTATGTTAGAGATGATCTCTATGCTCAGAAATGAGGCTCCGTCCACTGCTCCAGGAGAGGTCTGTGACCTGTCCACTGCTCCAGGAGAGGTGGACTGTGACGTCTGTCCAGAGCCCAGGCTCAGAGCCCTGAAGTCCTGCCTGCTGTGTCTGATGTCGTACTGTGAGAGCCACCTTCAGTCACACCTCACAAACCCCCGTCTGAAGAGGCACCAGCTGATCCACCCTGTGCCCAACCTGGAGGAGCACATCTGCCCTGAGCACCAGCGGCCCCTGGAGTTCTTCTGTAGGGACCACTCACACTTCATGTGCGTGCAGTGCAGTTATACAGAGGATACAAAGCATCATACTGTCTTATTGAAGGAGCAGGGAGAGGAGCAGCAGGCCACACTGAAGAAACAGATCAAAGACAGACGTGTGAAAGTCCAGGAGATCCAGCGCTCAGTGGAGCAGAGTCAGAAAAAGGCAGATGCAGAAATACAAGAAGGTCTCAGAGTCTTCACCGCTTTGATGGAGTGTGTTCAACAAAGTGCAGACAGCTTCAAACAGAGCATTGTAGAAAAGCATCAGAAGGTGGAGGAGGAGGCGTCTCAGCTGATAGAGCAGATCCAGACAGAGATCTCTGAGCTGGAGCAGAGAGGAGCTGAGATGGAGCAGCTGTGGACCTCTGGAGACCACCTGTCCTTTGTCCAAACCTTCACTACAGTCAAACCTGCTCAGAGACTGGAGCCAGAAGACTGTCAGGACCCCGTTGTACAAGGAGACAGGGGCCCAAGCTGTGTCTGAGCTGAGGAACAAACTGAACACAGAGATGGAGACGTTCTTTAAAGCAGAGTTAGAGAAAGTTCAAGAGTTTGCAGCTGAGGTGTCTCTAGATCCAGACACTGCACATCCATACTTAGTTCTGTCTAAAGATCTCAAACAGGTTCATTACGGTGACCAAGAACAGAATCTCCCAGACAACCCTGAGAGATTCACGTTTCATTTGTGTGTTTTAGGGAAACAGAAGTTCCCATCAGGAAAGTTTTATTTTGAGGTTCAGGTCAAAGGAAAGACAGGCTGGGAAGTAGGAGTGGCCAAAGAGTCAGTGGATCGAGACGATGAAGACTCTCGAACTGTACAGAAAGGATACTGGACACTCTTGTTGGACGATGGTCGTTACATAACATCAGACGATCCTCTTGTATTTCTCACTGTTCAGTCGTGTCCAGAGAAGTTGGGAGTGTTTGTGGATTATGATGAAGGTCTGGTCTCCTTCTATGACGTGGATAAAAAGTCTCTTCTTTGGTCTTACACTGACTGTGACTTCACTGACAACATTCTGCCGATGTTTAATCCATTCAACAATAGAAGTGGTACAAACTCTGCTCCTCTGGTCCTGACGTCTGTTGGAAGTTAGTTCTAAAGTTTATTATTGAGACTTAAACCTGTTGTTGTCGACTATTGCCTCAAACTACAATATTTCAGCTTTGATTTTAGTGCTTTGGAAAGTGTCATAGTTCCTGAACACAGATATTGACACATTTAGTGTGTGTGTGTTTTTGTGTATGACTTTGTGTGTGTCTGTATGCGAAAGTGATTGTGTGTCAGTGTATGTGTGTGTTTGTGTGTGTGTGTATGACTTTGCATTTGTGTCTGTGTGTATATATGTTTTTGTGTGTATAAGAATGTTTGTCTATCACTGTGTATGACTGTGTGTATATGTTTGTGTGTGTGACCTTGCGTGTGTGTGTGTGTGTGTTTATATGATTGTGTATACGTGTGTTTAAGAATTTGTGTGTATCCCTGTGTGTATGACTGTGTGTATTAGTTTGTGTGTGTGTATGACTGTGTGTATATATTTGTGTGTATGACTTTGCGTGTGTGTATCCCTGTGTGTATGACTTTGTGTATTAGTTTGTGTGCGTGTATGACTGTGTGTGTTGTAGATTAAACTAAAAACAGCACACACAGATACTTGTATCTTCTGTCCTCCATGTATCAACATCTTTGATCAAATGAAATTCTATCTTGAATCATGAAATGTGTTTATACTAATCATGAACCAAGTGTTTTTATAAAGTCTTCTTTTATTAATCATTAGGTTTTTGTATAAAAGGTTTGTGTGTTTGTGTGTTAGCCTGAGTTTAGTGAGTTCAGTGAAAGTTCCAGGACAGGTTGGTTTCTGTGATATACTGTTCTTCTCTGAGAGTCTCCCTTATCTCACCGGACTGGAGATGAGACCGGACCGGACCAGACCCAGACCAGGCTCTCCGGTCTAACCATTTTTGGAGCAAAAATGACGTCTTCGGAGGCACTTCCTCTTCTTCTACACATTTTCCTAAAACTGTTTTGTACGACATAGTTTTTTGTCTGATCCGGGGACAGAGAGAGGACTTCACAGAGAACCTGGGAGTCCTCTCAGTTTTCAGGCCTGGAGCGACACTTCCTTTGGCTCAGCTCATAGGGTTAGATCGGGAAATGTAGGAGCTCAGACAGTTTTCTATCAGTATGTCATTGTAAAGAGAATTAAATACTGTTTATTTTAACTCTTCCATATCTTGGTCTTTTCTGCTCAAATTCTGAATCAGGTCCACAAAAGTGTATATGTGTGTGTGTATGACTCTGCGTGTGTGTCTGTCTGTGAATGTGTATGTGTGTCTGTGTGTATGTGTTTGTGTCTCTGTGTGTGGGTTTTGTGCGTATGACTTTGCGTGTGTGTATGATTGTGTATATATGTGTGTGTGTCTGTGTGTATATGACGATGTGTATGACTGCGTGTGTGTCTGTATGTGAATGTGTGTGTGTATGACTCTGCGTGTGTGTCTGTCTGTGAATGTGTGTGTATGACAGTGTGTGTATGACTCTGTGTGTATGTCTGTATGTGAATGTGTGTGTATGACTTTGTGTGTATGACTTTGCGTGTGTGTATATGATTGTGTGTCTCTGTGCCTGGTATAAAACAGCTTGTACTTACTTATACCTAACCTTCTCCTGTGGTGCAGGAGGTTGTGGGTTTGAATCCTGTTTAGTCTGATGTCATGTTTATCAAAAGTTAATATTGTTCATTCCTGGGAAATTCCTGGTTCATTGTGTTTTATGAATCCACATTTATGGGACATTTTCCTCAATAAAACACTTTCTTCTAAAAGTGCATTGATTGAGACCAGTCCAGAGACACTCGGTGAAGATCCATGTCTTATAGTGTTCGTTTTTTTTGTTCGAATTATTTGTATTGCCATTGCGAGTAACAGGAGGAGGTCACAAACTAGGACATAGCTTTGTCTCTGTGCAAACAAGTCAAAAACTATAAATAGAATCAGTCATGGATGAAAAGAACCAGGCCCCGCCCCACTGAGCTTTACAGGTCTGACTGGATCTGGCTTTCACATTATTTGTCTATTGATTCATGTGAAAATATGTTGTGCAGGTTCAAAATGACAAATAAAAAAACTCTACATTCTCGAACTGAGATAATATAATTGTAATTCCAGTACTCCAAAACACTATAAAGCACTTTGGGTCACCTGTGTCTGTGAAATGGACTATAGAGTAAATAAAGATCACTTACTTAAATTTTTTCTGAACTTTTGTGCCACATGCCAAAGTTTTAAAGGAGCTTTATAACTCCAATGCAATAATATTTCTCTATAATAATCGGAAAACGTGATTGTAGAGTGAGTCCTCTAAACCCCGGAGGAATTAATTCACCAAGGAAAAAAACACACTTTATCAATTATTCAAAGCGGATGTGTGTGTTTTTGAAGCCATTTTTCCCACACATTGTGCATTTATTTGCGCTGTTGCTGCCATGGAAACAGTGTTTTTGATAAATCAGGCCAAAAATATATCTTTCAAGGATATCTGCCTCTCAAAATGTCATCAAAGGCTCAGTGAGTTGAGGTTTAGTTTTTAACTTTTTTACTGGAAATGAAAGACGCCACCTGCAGGAAACTCTTGAGAGCAGCTTCAGTGACAGACCCTTGTTGTGTGAAGGAGAGGTTCCGCAGGTCTTTTTTTACTGCTGCTGTCAGACTGTACAATGAACGAGGAGGACTAAAGAACACTGCCAACCCAGCCTGGTCTTACCAGGCGCGGCATCACGTTGTGGGGACCTGAAATCTGTTAACACAGTCACGCCATGGGGACCCATTTCCTTAGGAGGACCAAAACCAGGTCCCCATAAGGAATCACCCATTTAGAGGAATGTGGGAGCTGTTTAAGAAGGTGCTGGCAAAGTTTTAGAGAAGGCTCGTAAGTGATGTTTAATGTGTGTGTTGTGGTTGCTCATTGGCACCTCTGGTGGTAATGACTGGTAAGACACATATTGGTTTCCACACCCCACCACACTTTGCATATATAATTAAGTACCGCCCACATCCTGGTCCCCAAGAGTGATGATCTTGGAATCAACTGTTTTCAGCTGCTTTCAAATGCAACAGACAGGTAAGCATAATTTGCAATCCTTTTAGAACAAATATTGTATATATGCATGTTATTTAATAGCAACCAAGTTATTGCTAATTCACTTTTTTTTTTGTGGCCTGAATTGCTGTGGTTTTAACTGTACAGGACTAATGCAACTGGTTCGAGCTAGCATTGGCAACTTGTTGGAGCTAGCATTAGCAACTAGCTTGGACAGCAGATTCTACCAAACAGCACATGGGTCAATGTTCCCTTCTAAAAGGACATTCAGATGGCGAACAGTTGTCTTCGCAGTAAACGAGTGGTGACTAAATTACATAAGTAGAGCTTCTTATGTACTAGAAGTAGCTAAGCTAGGAAGTTAGCACCGATTTTTGCTAACAAGCTAGTGTCAGAGTAAACAGGCTAAAGAATCTGAGTACTCTTTGCTGGTAGCTATACTAAAGACTGTATACTGTTCAATGCTCATGCAAAACGAATAAACTGGTGTAATAAGTACAGATCTCAGATGATTTACTTTGCATGGTTTCCCTTTTTAAGCAAGATTAGAGGTGATTTTAATATACAACCTGTTAGCATTAGCAACTAGCTCGTATAGTAATCAAACTTGTGTGTGTTACTTTCAAGAAGCAACTAAAGAGCTTTCTCAGTACATATACAGGCTCTGAATGATACAACTAAAGCTTTCTATGTAATAGCAGTAACCTATAGTGGCTTTACTTATTAAGAAGTAGTTTGCAGTTTAGTTTTATTTTAAGAATTAAGTGGGTCAAATAGCAGAAATATTTAATTTCTTCAAGTAGAAAGGAAAAAGAAAAGTTACTGAAGTACTGGATGAATATATTAATTGAGTACCTGACTAAATGTTGAAAGTAAAGGTTTGATTTGTAATTATGTATTAAAATATATTAGATATAGAAGATATTTGGAAGTAATATAGTAGAAACAGCTGTACCAAACCTACAGATAAAATAAATTACAAATGTAATAGAATTGTTTCAAAAAATGACTCAAGTGAAATCATAATTATGCATTCTGTTGTTTCAGTTTTTGATGATTTAAATGGCACCACGAATTAGCCCAGAAAAACCTCTGTCTGTGGGGTTTGAAAATTTAGCTGAAAAAGCTGTCTCTGTATTATATAATTTGAATTGATAAATATAGGTAAGCTTTGAGTATGTAAGCTTGGTGATTGTAGCACTATACTGTATAATGTATGTGCATATAGTATGTGTTTAAAAGTTTTTATATATCAAATATATATATTTCTTTTTTTTCAGCATTGATGCTTCAGTACAAGATGGCACATTTGGGCGTATTGTTAATGATGACCACATCCCACCCAAATTGTAAGATGAAAAGAAGCATTACGAGACAAAAAA